CTAGAAATTAAATTGTTCAGGTTAATAGTGCTTCTTTATTAGTGGAAAGTATGCTTCATGCCCATAGAACACTACATAGCATAACATGAAGAGAAAGCTACTAAAAAGCTCAAGATGGTGATAGGGACATGCACTAAATGGCAACCCTTTCAAATATGTTCATTTGAAACATTCAGAAAAAGAACTAGACTTGCTCATGAAGCCAAAAACAGAGGTCAAAAGGCAGCAAATAAACAAGAACCTTTTCCACCTATGGGAACTTGTATTGGGAGATACAAGATAGAAAACCAGTCACACAACAGTATTTGTATGTGCTGGGAGAGTTTGAAAAGGATATAAAATTAATTTATAAAATACCTAAAGTATGGTCCTTCAGTGTTTTTATTCACATCTTCTACCCACTTAGCTACATTATAGTCTCTTTTGAACCATGGGTTTAAATACCTGCAGAAAGCAATGGAAGGAACAAAGAAAGCAGAACAAGATAGAAAATCTGAAAATACACAGCACAAGCTTAGCAAGGATGTTCTTCACCCTCTAAATGCAAGTGACTATGGCAAATAAACCAGGATGGATGCTGGGTGATTATGAGGCAGTCTGTACAACAACATGACAATTAACTCGGCTACAAGAAGGCTCAAGGCATTCTAGCATATATTCAACCTTTCAGGGAAAGCCTTTCCAGTGGTTTCCCAAAGTGAATCAGAAACTCTCTTTCAGAGTAATGTCAGCAGCCCCCTTCACCCACCTCCAAAGGCTTTTTCCAGGCCACCACTCATTTGTCTCCTTGGCTTTCAAATGATAATGGGCCTTTTCGAAAATATTCAGATGACTGCAATTCCAACCTGGTGTTTCAGAATACAACATCCCAAGAATAATTAAAAGAAGCCAAGCTCTCTTTCCCGTATGAAAGGAAAGATTTTACATGGCTTCTGTCTCATCCTGAGAGCAGATCTCAAGCTGGAGTTTAGAAGAAAGGTGATCCAGCTGGCTCTATAATGAGCAGAAAGGGTCCCACTCTTCTGATCCTGGAGCCCCAACACACAGTATGGTCCCAGTAGGCCTCCATGATCTTGAGCTGGGTTTGGTAACTTAGGTGCAGCTACCATTCCATTCTTCCTCCCCTTTGTGCACTTCACATTCACGTTTCCAGTAGGAAATGCCTCAGAAGTTGCCTCCTGAGTATCTGATCACTGGGTGAGTGACTGCCAGAGGATAATAATGACCTTAGCTAACATTTTCCTGGTGGATCTGACAAAGTCTCCATCAGAATTACTGCACAAAGGAAGATGTTAAAGGCAGTAAAATTATGAGTACAAGAGTTTTTATATTTTTTTCCAGAGTTTCTTTTGATTTTTACCCTGGGAGCCAAGCAAAGACACATCCTCTTAAAATATGCCCTTGTCAAATACATAAAGATTCAACAAATTCAGTCACAGAAGAATTTGGAAATTTTACACTGAGATGTCTCATTTAAAAGGTAACTTCCAGAGATACCAAAGACAATGAAAATTTAAGTTCAGTAAAATGTTTAAAGTTATTTCAAAACAAACCAGGGGAAATTATAAAATATACTGCTTTTTTTGTGGTTAAAGTTTGCTTCTTGCCTCCATATTCAGTTTTTTTTTTCTTTTGTAGAAACATTTAAATCAAGATACATTTCCACAGTTATATAAGCAATATTAGATTATATTTCCATAGTGCTTTCCCTCAAGTTTCCCTTTCCTTTTTAGTTATAACCAATGTATACTACAAAATAACATCATCAGTTCCCTCCTAAGGGAAGGGCTTGCTTGCTTTTCATGCTAACAAGACCATTTTTGCTAAGATAGTGTCCAACTTGGGCACAACTCACACTTCTTTTTGCCTTTAGCCACAATCATTGCCAACTTGTGCTTTTGACAGAGATAGCCAATTAAAACTTGCATAAAGATTTCCACTAAGACTCTGAACAAAAAGAAAAAAGTCAAAAAGCAAATGCAGCCACACATAAAGGCTAGTGAATGCTCTGGCCTGGGGAAAACTAGAAAAAGCCCATGCAGCTGTTACCGGGTGAATGAAACATAGCCGCACAGCAAACTGAGTCACCCACAGGCAGCCGGCCACTTCCAGGAGGAGACATGTGTTCCCTTCACTGTCAATCTTAGAAGCTCCAAGGAGCAGCTGTGGCTGTTCCAGGAAACCTACAGCCATGTGGCCTGACTTGCACAGAGGCAGGCCTTTCTCTCTGTGTCAGGGAGCATCTCAGAAAGCTGTGATCACTTCACGCTAGGTCACTGAAGAGAGCGCTCAATCGAGGTTCCCTCTGGGAATGTGCCTGTGAAACTGTCTTCACAGTGGGCCTCCTAATAATCTCTAGGTCGTGCTGGCTAGAGTGATGAGATTTCATCAAATTGCAATGCATCTGCCTACGTGGCTTGACTTGGCTTGTAGCGCAACATGCAAAAAAAAAAAAAAAAAATAGCGTTCAACAGGATAGGAGAGCCCTTTGTGTTCTCCAGAATGAAAAGGCAGAGGAATATTAGCCAGTGCTGGCTGGACCAGGAGCACCTCCGAGCAGACGTTGGGGGTCAGTCAGAGATCAAATGACTCTGCTCTCAGCCAAGGAAGGGACTTGGAGGGAGATTAAGTGGCAGCCCAGAATGAAGGGGCAGGTGGAGACTGACCTGTGATCCAGACTCCCTGTCTGGGGGCTGTCAGAGCCCCCTGAGCTTATGCCTTGGGATGGGACTGTCTGGGCGAGGGAGTGCCCAGGCTCAGGTGCTTGGGGCTCCCTCCTGTAAAAACACAATATATAATACAAAGTCTAAGCCAAAAACCTTTTGTTTTTACACCATGTACAACAGTGAGGAAGATGCAAAAGCTTTGAGTGGAAAAACAATACAATAAACAAGGACGTTTTATAGCATAGTATGCATTTGTGGTACACGGTTTCTTTAACGAACTCATGATTCATCATCCTTTGGGATGATCAGATACTAAAGGGAATGCTGAAATAATGGACCTGATAGTAACTCTTAACCTAAAAAAAAATTTTAAAGATATATTTGTCTGTGGTCATACTGCTCCTCTTATAAGTCACACAAATGATATTGTTATAGCAGATACAATTGCAATTATTTAATAAACATGGGGAGTATTTAAAAATAAAACTGTTGACATAATTCCTGATATGCTATGTGTTAGGATTTATTTTAAGAAAAATAAAACAAAACATAGTGTCTGGACAATAAGGTATATGAGAATGTGAAAAGTGGTCAGCTTCACAAACTTGGTTCCATTTAGCTTATATGGGTCATGTAACCAAACCTGAAAGTCTGAAAAATCTGAGAGCATCCTTAATACTTCTTCTTCATAATGATGACTCCATTATGATGACTTATTAAATGTAATGATTATCTCAAAGGCAAGATTTCTCAAGGGCTGTCTACAGTATCATAATATTTGTTGCATGATAAATAATTTTTAAAAAATTAGTGATTTGCTAGAAAATGTCACTAAACACCAACTATTTCTTGGGTCCTAAACTCATAGCTTTAATACAATATTGGCTATTTGGTGGTTGTTCACTTAGGAGTTTTCAAAGCCTTGTTACAGGAAATACTGTTAAAGCACTACACAGCTACACAAAGGAAGTTCTGAAGAACATTCAGCAGTTTTACCTGTACTCTTGTGAGCAACTGAGATAAGCTAAGAAGCTCTTACCAGGTGACCTCATGCAAAACAAATTAAACATTCCGAGAGTTTATCCATGATGAGCCTGAAAGCATCCAAGTGCTTTGGGATGTATAAGATAAACTCTAACAGATTAGTTATTTGTGATGGAGTTCTATGATGCCATTCTGGACCATGCAATGGTATCACTGGAACCTACTTATTGCTGCTAAGGTAACATATCCTCTAGTAAACTGACAAGCCACTTACAAGACAATACCATCAGCAGGAAGCTCCAAATTTCAGGGCAATGTTATTGTCCTGGACTGAAAAAGGCAGGGTATATGATGGAAAAGCTAACATGAGTTTCTGACAAGCAGTGAACAAATATCTGCTATTCAGATTTTTAAAGTATTAAGGCATGAAGAAGCAATAGAGATCCAGGGAATAATCACTAGCACTGCAGTGAGAAATAAGTAAAAAAAAACAAAAAACAAACAAATTAGGTAGGTCCAAAAAGTATGGTTAATTAAAACCAGGTGGCAAGGTCCAGAAGCAAACTAAGGATGTGTTTTATTCCATGATGGGAGATAAAGGTTTTAAGAAGCTTGGTTTTGCTTGATTTTTCTCAAGTGGAGAGACAAATTTTAAAAGTGTATGGTGTTTGCCTCATTATAAATGACTTTAAATGTAACTGCTAACCCCATCCGACTTAAAAAAAAATGTGGCTATCGTTTAAAATACAGAGTGTTGCATTCAGTGACAATGATTCCGTTAAAGAGCAAGTTTAGGGAAATACCCTTTTAAATGTCCTCAGAAGGAAAATTTAAAAGGGACCCATATTCCAGTAGTCTGAGAGAATGCTTAGATGGCCATGAAGCCCTGGGAGCGGTGGTTTCACACTGCGAGCAATTCCCATGCTCTAGTACGGTGGAAACGTCCCCCTGCTTCTAGGCTGTGTGAATACTGGGGGGAGGAAAGGTGACCCCTCTGAAATGGCTGGACCCCGGGCGATGAGAAGAAAGGAATGTTATCAAAATTCCCTTCAAACGGAACCAAAACACCACAATGGCAGGTTACTGGAGGACAAAGCCTGCAGCGAGGGTGAGACCCCCCACTATCAGGGGGTATTGGTTTGGGCACAGTTGCGGAGATGCCTATGTAAAAGAGAAAAGCCATGGTTAATTTTAAAACAGCAAAATAAATAAATAAATAAAAGGATTAAAAAGACAAAACCAAGACCCAGAGGCATGGTTTACAGTTCTTTGATGATCAGGTTAATTAACATTTCACACTAATTGCACAAGACCTTGCAGGGTCTTTTTCCATTAGAGGTTCAGACTTACTCAGTTGAATTAGATCGAGGTCTAAATCTTTTGCCTCTGATTTTCTTTCTGTTGCCTCCCAGGTTACCTGAAAAAGATGGTTTATGGCTAGATTTGAATATAAAAAAAACAATTGCTGTGTGTTTAAGTACACTGTATTTCAAGTGAATGCAATTCACAACAGCACCAGCCCAGAACATAGGACTTCAGAGTACTGTGCAGCCTTCTCATGTACCCAGTGCACCGGTGCTACCAAATCCTATCATTTCCCAACCAGAAAAAAAGAACTGGATTCTCTCATAAGAAATGTCCTCCTCTCTGTTGGGAGAAGAGGTGAAGAACTCATGAAAAAGAACAAGTCTTTACAACCAGGCACCACACACAATAACAGAATTAAGGTTATTTGAACAGATGGGTTCAGAATGCTGCCCTATACCTTGCCAAGAGTTACTCCGAGGTCGTCCATTTTCACAGATGTCTGAAATATGTTTTGTGTCTGGAATCCTTTCACTCCAAGAATGAGAAAGTCCATTTGACCTGAAATTAAAAATGTGTATATACTGTTCAAAAATATAATCAAATGACTGTGTTGAAATCAGTAAGCAACAATTCTAAGCATTACTGAGCACTAAAATAAATCAAGAAAGAAAAAATCTGAAATGAAAGAATGAAGAAAACATGAAAGTCTTCATGAAGAAGGCAGAATTACACAACATTCAATTTAAGAAAAGTCAAATACAATGGAACCCCATTACAAGAGTTTGTAATTGAAAAGTATCAGGATACAGTGCAAGCCAATTACATTCCCAAGAACCACACAGAGCAAATAACACTACATATTTCAGTTACATAATCCATGCAGCAAGAGTTATAATGGGGTCCCACCATAGATGTTTCTTAATTGTAAAGCAATGGCTTCCATTCAAGTACTATGAGAACATGGACTTCCAAGAGATTTCAATAAGAATTGCTCAGTTGAACCTGGTTAACCTTTATGAAAGATTAATCTTTACCCAAACCTAATATTTAGGTTTTCTTAAACAATAAAATTATTTTCTGAAAATTGGCATTTTTCTCCACTAATATGCACCCCCCCTCCCAAATATGGTACTGTTGGTTAACTGTCCAATAACTGAATTGAGTCAGAGGTTTATCATGGAGTTTTCTCTCACAAAGTCCATGTACCATTAAGCCCTTCTGCTCTTTGTGTCCTGCCATCTTTAAATGAACTGTCTACAAGAAGCAAAATTTACACACCTACCTTGAACCACATAAGAAAAGCATTTTGACAAACTGCATATACTTAGGAGGAATCACATAATTTGGTACAATATTTAACTGTTTAAATGTCAAAACCCATTGAGATTTTGCTAAAATCTGGTAATGATTCAAATCAATATTTTAAGCTCTTCTTGAAGTACTTTAGAAAATAGTGCTGTAATTTAAATCTTTCCCATATATCATTCCAGTTAACTGCTAAAAACATCTATTTTAAAAGGAACCTTCTACTGATGAATGAAAATAAATGGAACTCAGCACAATTATTATGTAATTCCCTAGATTTTTCACCATCATTTGCTAAGTATAGAGTGACTCCTATTTTGTACAAAAGAACAATAGAAATTCTCCTGGAATTTATTGATTTCTACACTTATTTACCATGTGATTTGATTTAAAATTGAATATTTGATCAAGAAAATATATACTGTGAGGATTTTAAGAAAAGATAATTCTCTTAGCTAAAAAGTACCCAATGAATTAAATAAAATGCTTGAACATCCATCTATAGAATTGTACTCCTTATGTAAAGACTAATAATTTAACTTTAGATTTAAGCAATATTATCTGAGTAAAAACAATCCTTTACGCTGAGGACAGTTCCACAGAGTTCCCAAATCTCACTAATTCCTTCAATTTTTTTCTTTTTTTTCTGATGTTTATAAAGAGTAAGATCCACTGCAGAATTTTTGCAGATTACTCTATTTAGAACTCCAGAAGAGATCATGTTTCTTCTCAATAAACTAGCAATTTCCTTTTCAGTCTATAAAAGAACTACTGTGCCCAAAGTATACATTACAGCCCTACCAACAATTTTAAAGAAACTCTTCCAGAGGAATATTTAAGTTTTTTTACAATGTAAATGAAGGTCTCATTTCCTAAAACATTCTATTTATTTCTCTGTCAGCTTATTTTATTAAGCATTTATAAAGCATGCAGAATTTTAAATGGTCTTATATACCTTAAGACCATAGAGCAAGAATACAGCCTTCAAGTTTAAGACATATAAATAATATATTAACCCCATCTGGACTGCTATAAAACTCAAATATTAAAAATGCTTAAATTAATTTGGCAACCAGCTCTAAATTATAAAGTCTAGAATTAATCATTCCAGGAATGAAAGGCAAAATCATAATATTCAAATATACGATTCACAGAGAAGCAATCGTTTTTTCACAGCAAGCTTAGCTTTGATAAATTTAAACTTAAAAAAATTCAATGCAGCATTTATATTACCAGTTTATTTTAACAACTGCTTTTACTGAAGCATGACAGTAACCTTTTTCTTTGACTACCAAACATGACATAAAGCTCACCATTTAAAATACAATAAAATACAATGTGTAGTTTCTGAAACAGTAGAAGAGCAAGATTGAAAAACCCTGGAGTTTCTATATAGACTTAGGGTTGTTATTTGCTTAGTTTTCTTTTGTTTGGTTTTCTGGCCTGATTTGTTAAACCACTGGTTCTGAGCATATGGCATTTTGAAGTAGAGTAATCAAAGAACAAAGGATACTATTTTTTAACATTCAAGAAAGAAGGAAGAAGTAATCAAACCTGCTGCAAAATAATGAAATGTTCTGACTAATGGAATAATGTGTGATGGAACAGGTAGAAATCTGAAAATGCGACAGAAAAGCAGACCTCTTCTTAGAACTAGATGCTGAGTTTGTGCTGACTCCAGGAGGAATGTCGCTATAAAAAGAGTCGCCATCTCCAGGCTTTTTTACATAATCTCCCTGGGGTAACTGTCTAAGGCATAATAAACATTTCAGAGTCAGAAAACAAGACACACACATGAACACAGACATATACAAATATTATTTTAGGAAAAAAGAGGTAGGGATAATGATCTACATGAATCAAATCTATAACAACATGTAAGATTATTAATAAATGTGACAAGTTAAAAGTCATTCTAATTGTAGAGGCCGGAAATGCAATCACTGAAGTCTTTACAATCTGGATGAGTATACCCTTGCTTCAGGGGAAAAATATGAAAAGATGAGGTTTTTCACTGTAACTTCATTACACTTAGAGATGTTAATTGCCATTTTGTCTTTAAAAACAAACAAACAAAAAAAAAACCTGGTGCTGAAGGAGACATATCAAGACAGACAGTCCTTGCCCAGATAAGGTATCCTTTTTCTCACTGTGGTGTGTAAACTATTTGTAATTTCTAAATACTATAAATGTAATCTTTATTTGGCCTTAAAGGAACTGATTGATTTCTAAACTGTTCTATAATTTAATCCAAATAAATTATTTGAATTCTCTATTCAATCTGGGGCCTCACTATTCATTTAGCAGAAATATAAAGAAATCAAAAGAGATTCAAATGTCAATCAAAAATGTAATTCTATAACTGCACACTAGAATATGTAAAGGAAGATAATTTAACAAGAGGAAGAAAGAGTTGAAAAATAATGGAATTCTTGTTGATACTATAGAAAGATAATTATAGGTGGCTGGTGGATGACCTCGATTCTTTATCTCCAACAAGGGGAAAGCTACATAGTCTGCACTATTACCGACTCCATTCGCTCTGATTTTGAATTAACTGAGATTGGAATGTATTTTTATTACTTCTGCTAAGGGAACAGGGTAGAAAACTTTAGCTAGGACTGCCTTGTCAATGCTCCTACTTTGGTAGTTAATCTGATCTTTTGCCAGTGCATGACCCCAGACAGGCATGGCTAATAAAATTTTACAATTAACATAAAGCACCTGTATTAACTTGTGTGATCTACCTCTCCCCTTTAAGGAAATTAAATTTCTCATTAGATTTGTATGTAGGATTAATATAATTCTTTGATACATATTCTTTCAAAATATTTGTGGCTTCAGATCATAAATGTAATCTTTTTTTCTCCCAGGATATTATGAAACATTAATTTATAGAAAAGACATGTAATTCCCATATTTATACTGTTAATTACACAAATGATATATCTGTTTATGGAAGAGATCTTTAACTCTCTGGAATAATATTTTCTGTCTTGCCTCCTATCAGTAAAATGCTCTATCAATTTTTTGAAAAATAAAATCAAAGTTTTGTAAGTTGCCTCAGGTATGATAATTGCCTTTTGTATCATACCAATACTTATAAAAGAATGCCAAAGAACATCCCATTAACGTTACATTTCCAATGATAATCTTTATGGTTAATGAGTCATTTTTATCACTATTACCTTTAATGATAATTTTTATATGCTGATGAGATGTGCCTCACTAAATTCAAGTTTATATGCTGTGCTTACTTGCTCTGTCGTGTCTGACTCTTTGCAACCCCATGGATTGTATCCTGCCAGGCTCCTCTGTCCATGGGGATTCTCCAGGCAAGAATACTAGAGTGGGTTGCCATGCTCTCCTCCAGGGGATTTTCCCAGCCCAGGGATCGAACCCAGATCTGCATTGCTGGCGGATTCTTTACTGACTGAGCCACCAGGGAAACCCAACAATACTGTAGTGGGTAGCCTGTCCCTTCTCCAGGGGATCTTCCCGACCCAGAAATCAAACCACGGTCTTCTGCATTGCAAGTAGATTCTTCACCAGCTGAGCTACCAGGGAAGCCCATAAATTCAAATCAAATAAATACAAGTTGTGACTTTACTTGACTTTGCACCCAAATTACTCCTTCTTTACATGGTTCTGGCATTCAGGCATTTACCAAAGGTTCACTTATCTGAGACTGCAGGCTTAAATGGACTGCTTCTCACAGTGGATGGGGCTCAATGATTTTGCCTGTTTGTTTAAGCATGGTTTACAAATCCTTCAATGTAATTTCTCTGCAGTCTTTTACTTTCCATCTTTTACACTGCACACTTTTACACTGCACACAAACATCCCATATGTTACACACGCCATAAACTATGGGCTTCAGTCAAAGGGTTGAAAGGAAAATTTAAGTCCGGTGAACTTTGAGGGGCATGGATTTGCTTTTATCATCCCAGGCAAACTAGACTCATCTCTATCTCTACCATGAAGTCTTCGAAATAAAGAAATTACACTGCATTCTTCTTAAAATTCCACAAAGAATGCATGTAACTCCTTCACACAGTAAATGCATAAAAATGTTAATAATAACAGATGATAAACTTTGTTAAAGATTTTTTAATACTATTTAACAGCCTTCACTGTCCAGAAATTTATTCTTTTCTCAATATCCAATTATATCTTATTACAAACCTATTTCTTCCTGATTAACCTTTAGTGAAGATAGAGAATATCAGGTCCCTATGATCAATAAAATACTACCTCATCATTTGTTATAAAAGACTATAAATGACCAAGTAAATGATAGCTTTAAATGTGTTAAAATTGAATTTAATTTTTTAATCTTTATGCTTTTGTTCCTAAATTTTACTAGTTTCACAGAATTTTGGAATTAGGTGGCCTGATCAGTACTAAGTTTTAAAATGGGAAAATTACCTCAAATTTCCCACAGCACAAGCAAATATTTTAGACATGTGAATGAATTTTTCTATAAATAATAACCAAAAGAAAATAAAACTTATTTAGCTAAATTATTTTTCCTCAGAAAGGATTCCTGTTATAAGAGAAGTCTGATCTTTCTTTAAAGGGTCTGCTGAACCATAATATTTAACTTAATAATCCTTACACATACTCAAAATGAGATCATAATGAAAAAAATTAAGTCTTAACCTTAAGACTGAAGGAGGCACTTTTCCAAAGCTTTGATGGTGTCTAGGCTGTCTGCTATTGGAATTGTCACATTGCTGTCTGAAGAAATGTTGTGTACTGTGTACTAAATCAAATTGACAGATGCATGAATATCACTATAATAATATTAAAAAAACTAAAAAACTAAGAGAGTCTTGGGGGAGAAAAGGAGGGAGGTTTACAAGCAGAAAGTAAAGTGGCTAAAATAGGTAAGAGAGAGAAAAGAAATGGGGAAGGGGGTTTCTGCTTAAGGTATGGATCAGGAAGATACGGACTAATTATTTATTCTGATTCATATTATGTGTGTTCAACAATGTATGTTCATTTCAGACAAAAAAATATTGCACCTGAATAAGGATGCTTTATAAATCCAAGTTTAATGCTTTATAAATCCAAGTTTAATGAATTCAATTAACTTGAATTAAATCCAAGTTTAATTGCACCTAAATAAGGATGCTTTATAAATCCAAGTTTATTCTATTGCTATTTGAAAAACTGCCTGAAAACTAAAATTCAAAATTCTAATTTTTATTGCAAAGTATATAGCTGCTAACTCCTAAAGCAATTATGCTAAAATAAAATTATGCTAGCAACAATAGCATCAACTGAAAAAATAGATAGAGGCCTTCCTTCCTGGAGATTTTAAAGAAAATAATCAATAGTCATCCTTCTAACTAGATGATATCTAAGAATTCTCCTTGGCTCCTCAGTCCCACGGCTCTACCCTTCACAAGATAACACTGGCAGATTTTTATTTACTTACTTATTTATTTATTTATTTTTGCCATATTCACAGCATTTGGAATCCTAGTTCCCCAGCCAGGGATCTAGCCTCGCCCCCTGCACTGGACCGCCAGGGAAGTCGCCAACCCTGGCAGATCTAAAGTGATATAATTCATGTATGAAGTTCTGTCTCCCAGAATTGGGCTTCTATCTTTTATTAGGCAGTTTATAAACAAAAAGAAAAAGAAAAAAAGGGCTTGCTTCTAATCTTTTGGCCAGACGTGAAATTAAACCTATCACACATTCCTTCAATATAAAGAAAACCTGGGGGACACATTCTCTGGTGGGAAAATTTACCAGGTTATCAGGTTTCTTCACAGAATTACTCACCTGACATTTCCAGTTATTAGAAAGTTATGCTGAGTTTGGCATTTCTGAGCCATTGTATCATTAGTTAAAGAATCTCATAACTGGCTACATAGTTAATATGTATTTAGTGTCAAAGCAAAGCTGTATGTTCACCAATGCTTTCACACCAGGATGTGTGGGCCTCACTCATGTCAGGAACGCTGCTTTTCTCTTTAAGGACAACCATACCTACCTATCTCTTTAATCTGAGGATTAGAGAAACACAAAGTCTTCAGAGACCACATATTAATAACTTTCCTTACTAGAATGCTTCATAGATTACAAAGAACTTCATCTGCATTTGGAATTGGGGAAAGTTTAAGTGATTTCCCAAGACCATATACTAGCAGGTAGATTTCTGATTCATTCTAGATTGATCCTCCCACCATGGAACCTCAGGGCAAAACTTAATTTAAAAGCAACTCAAATTTTTTATTTCTATTCCCTGGCATCCTTTGGAATTGGGCACATCTTTCTTGGAATATCTTCAGATATTTTCACAAGACTGTAAATTTCCTAATGTAGGCTTTGGCCCATTGGTCTTATCACCTTCTCTATAACCACTAAGATACATTCTAATAAAAAGACAGTCCTTCAGAAGATATTTATATATTTACAACTTCCTGATCTAAAGTTCATTCCTTGCAGCTTCTCCATTTTAACAATTATTATATAACCATATATAATACCTGGAAAATCCCATGGACAGAGGAGCCTGGTAGGCTACAGTCCATGGGGTTGCAAAGAGTCAGATACGACTGAGCAACTTCACGTTCACTTTCACTTTTCATATAACACTAAGATTCATTGGCTACAGACAATAAGGGCAAAATAAATAAAATTTGTGCTGAAATATATATAAAAAAAATAGTACCTGCTGAAAAGTGACAACTCTCAAAATATGAACTAGACTTCAAAGAGTGTCCAGATTGATGAAATGGTGACTCAGTATTCATCATATACTGGTAACACTCCCAGAAGTACCAGAAGGCATGAAATTACATCAGGCACAAAAAGAGATTTCTAACAAAAATTTTCTTAACTGTACCTATGCATATATTGAGTTAGAAAAAGAAACTGGTGCTCAGGTTTACATATTTACCATTTTTTTTGTAATGTAGGCAATTCCTTTATTCTGGAGAATACCCCTGGTGAGAACACGTCTTAGAGCACCATAACAATTTTGCTTATGTTGCGTATTTATGACACTGTGCTTTCCTTTTCAAAGAGTCAGCAATATTAAATTACACTACAGCCTTAATTCTTACGGAAATGGAGTTAAATCACCATTTTATCTGTGTAGTATAATTTTACTTTTCACTGAAGAAAGCCACCAAACTTACATTTCTCCTATAAGTGATCAACATCTACCCAACAGCAAGCATAAATAGCTTTGGCTCTTCTTCAGTGTTTTTTGGACACAAAGTTTAAAACATGTCACAAAGAAGTCTATTTCCTTTATTTAAATAATTTTATTTCAGTTTTACTTTCTCCATTAAAGATAGAAGTCAGTGACTCCAGAACAAGGTCATTATTTTCTAATATCTATGGCTAACCGGCCAGGATCTCAACGGGTACCCTGTGGGTACCACTTGTGGCTAAAGCCTTATACAGATTTTAAATTATAACTTAGAAGGAAACAGAACAAAGTTTAAAATTCTAGTTTGTGAAAAAAAAAATGAAAGCTGTGGCTAGGGTCTGATAAAGTGTCGTATTTATTACACCTTATTTCTAATCTGCCTCGGACATTTCCTACAGTTGTGGGAAAAGTTAGGAGCCTGCATAGGCATCTTGGGTACAAAACTAGTACTATATGATGTGGTCTTAGACAGTCAATTTCAAGTATATTTTAATTTTTTGGTATTAATAGTTAATAGCAATTATAAGTTTTTAAACGTGAAAAGTGAGGCTCAACATGGGCTAATTTAGATTTAGAAAAAATAGGCAAGTTTTACCCAACTACATGAATGCTTTGTATCTCTTTAGACACTGCTGGCTAAACATAGATGTTAAGGTTATATGAATAGAGTGCCTGACTTTATGGGCTTTTTATTAAAAAAAAAATAGTGCAGTAGGCAGAGATTATTACTATGCAAATTATTTCTTTCAATACCTGTATAATTATCTAATCTGTAAAAAAAAAAATTCTTATGCAGAGATAAAACAGATTGCTCAAATGCCAAGATGCTCTCCTGATCACAATAGTGTGCCTATATAAATTTTATCATTCATTAATGAAAGTTAGTAAAATAACAATAATCACTAAAAATAAATTCCTTTAGAAATCATTGGGCAAGAAAAGTGTTATAAAGGTGAAGAAAAGCCAATCAACTAATGTAAATAAAGGCGACACCTTAACATAAAGGAATTTTGTTTCAGGTAGGCAAAAATCAACTTCTAAATATATATTACTATAAAAGTAACACAAATAAGAATGACTAATTATAGTTTTGTTGGACACAAAACCATTAAAACTAAATAATGATAGATCTATTTTAAACTAACACATTCCACGGCAGCAGTACTGAAATGATCATTTCAAGGCCATGAAAAATCAAGGTTAGTTTATGACCACTACAACATAAAAACAAAAGTAAACTTAATTTATAAGGTGTGTATGAATTCCAAAGATGATAACAAGATTTAAACCTTTTGGTTTTCAGTTATATGTTCAGATTATTCTTATCACATACCTCTGCTCTCGATAGTTTCTTTTTATGGACAAGAAGAGAGAGAGAGAGAAATAATTAGTTACCTAAAAAAATACATTAAGAGAAATCACTAAACATAAAAGCTTTTGATGAAAGATCTCCACTAGAATTTCTAATTGCAGAACTAAAATGAAGATCAAAAACACAGTCTTCCCTCCCCCGCCTCACACACACACACACACACACACACACACACACACTCACATACACAAATTTCACTTCATCTTTTGGAAGAAATGACACCAAAGGGTTAGTGACAACATTTTCAAGTAACCATTGCTTAAAAGCATAAAGCTTCAGTTATTAAAAAGTAATTGTTCTCTCAATGTCAACTGTATCATATTAAACATTTAGTAATGTCCTAAAGTCAACCTTATTTCAAACACAGGTTTTCAGACATGCACATTGATTTAAATAAGGAAATTAGTTAAGTTACTGATATATATTAAATGTGTTTTCATGCAAATAAAAATTATAATTCATTCTTTTTGGAGTATATGCCACAAACTAGAGCTCTTCCTAAGAATTTCCAATAGGAAAACATAAATGTACAGAAGAACATTTTGTGTATGATAGAACGAGAATTCACAGATGTTATGGACCTCCCATGTCATCACTACTTACTCACTGAAGTTTCACTGAAAGTAACTGTGGTAATACTTTGTTTAAAGTCTCCTAAAATAAAATTGCATGAGTTTCAGAATAAACCATTCTGCAGCAAAAATGTGTTCTAGGGAGTATGGTAAGGAGGTGCCAATGATTTTTAATTTTTAAATAAAACAAGCTGATTTCTATCCTGACCTAACTAGCTGTCAATATTTTGAAGACTTGTTGGAAGGTCAAGCAACTAACAAGTAGGCTCCTTCTTCCAAGATCAAGACTAATGTTGCCGTATAGATTTTGTTTGTAGCACTTTTACCTGCCAATCTATTCCATGAATTCTCTGGTTATCTTGTTTAATAATGAGCTCATGAGAGTAAAAGTGCCAATTTGATATTTAATATTTTTCATTCTTGAAACTATCATACACGGGAGAAAAATAAGCCTACATATTTCAATTCAACATGTTTTACTTTTTATCCCCTCAAGTTGATTACCTGAGCGATCCACCAGTTACAAATGAGTATTCCTCATTTCCTATTCTTTCTATTACCCAAAGACTTGGAGAAGGGGTAGAAAGTTTAATTGGAAGGATTAATGAGAAAATGAGTTCTCAAGTCCTAAATTTGCTTGGCATTTTAAATAGAATATGTGAAACAGCATATTCATGAATTTAATTACTGAATTAAAATTTCTACATCCTTATTCTATTTTTATACAAATTCTGAATAAATGTAGTAACACTAATACTTTCAACATTCGGGTTCAAATTAGTTATGAAGAGAATACTGTGGTATGAACAAGATTCTGCAAAGTACGTATATTCAGAAACAAAAAAGTGAAACCACTTAAATTTCATAAAAATAAGAAATGATATACAGAAAGAAGTATTTTTCATTCTAATCATTAAAACAGACAGCACAGATAATTTCATTAGCAGTACGATTAGATGTTCAGGTTTCATATTTTTGAAAGGATAATTTTTTCCAAGATTGTAAACATGAAATATCAGTTTGCATCAGTAGGTGGCAGAAAACTAACAGAACTAACAATTTTGCTTTCCCTCTCGCATGACCAAATGAAATCACTGAGCTACTTCAAAATAGCAATGGTTGTGATGGCAACTACTACATGAGCCTTGCACAAGGGAAGTCAAGGAAATAGTGTGACACCAAGATAGAGCTAATTCACCTGAGGTATAATGAGAGCTCAAACAATATAGGTACAGAAAAGCCTTTCTTTCAGACATATAATTTTATACTCCAAATTTTGCTGAAATCAGCTGGTACAAATATAAGCATGCAAAGTGCCAAACAATCTGCACATTACAGAGGCATTTGCTACACTATGCTAGGCCATGTTAACTATATTATGCTAAAATTTACCCTGCTGTCTGTGCTATTTGTTAACACAGCCTTGCACAAATGTCTTTCTGCATTTTAGTACTTACAACATAGAAAGTTTATCCTGGCAGTCAACTAATTACTCTCTTTTCAGCCAAAATAACTTCAATGTTTTGACCTCACAGCCAGCAAGACCCATAAACTAGTTTAAAGAGGTGTCTTTTAATTCAGTTGGATTAAAACCATGTCAGGCAGTGATAATAATAATAACGAATGATTATATACACTATGCTAGTCAATGCCTAATCAAAAAAGTTTGCTTCATTTAAGTTTTATTAAACATAAGTTATTTGAATACTAAGGAAACTTTTCACATCATAAGTTGAAGTACTTAACAAGAGAAATGAGCACATTAAGTATACAAAAAGTCTGGAATGTGTGAAGCCATTTACTTAGCTAAATGCTAAGGGGATCCAATATTCAAAAGTTACATAATGTGTAACTTTTTAAATCTTGCACATAGAACCAAAGAATTGTAAGCTGAACTTTGAAGCTTAAGTATTAGGTCTCTAAAAGTTGTAACTTACAGTTGAATTTTAATTTTAACACATTACCTCTCTGAAGAGTTTTTCCTTCCCACAAAACACACATATTTAACAAATAACAATGTCTTCTTCACATTTGTTGGGGAGAGGTTTGGCTCTTGGCAGGATCCCTGCTCTTAGCAGGAAGCACTAAGGAGCAGATCCTGCTCTTGATATCACCCTTGCTACTAAACACTATGCTCTCTAATACACTATCCTGCCTAGATTTGGCGGAATGGGTTGAAGTCGAGAATCTGCATCACTAAAGAGCCAACCAACACAGCCTTTGTATGAGACACAATTTAGATTGATTTGTATTTCATGTAATGGTTTTAAAATAATATTCCGTATTTTTAGAATAGATGGGAATTAATCTCACAATCTAAAAAATGATAAATTATTGTTACTTCTAATCATGCCAAGGATCATCATGGATTGAATATTGAACCAGACTGATTTTCACTGCAGGTTTATTTATCCAATGATACAAAAATTTCTAGAATCATTTAGATAAATATTTTAAAGTACAATTTGACAGTAATTTCACTTACTTATAGCCCCATGCAGTAATTCCTAATATGAGGGCCAGCACTAAAATGGTGCCAGCAATTATGCCTATTATAATATTGGTACCAGCAACACCTGGGGGGAGAAAAGAAACAATGAAGATCAGTGAATACAGCTGAAATTTTGATATAAAATTCTTTCAGGAACTTTATTCTCCAGATTAATGATCATTACACTAATAACATTTGTTTTAAAAAGTGAGCATTTTTTCCTTTATATGGTTTTGATTTTACAGAAGCTTTTCCCCAAATTTTATTTATTTATTCAGATATAATTGTGACAAAACACTGTATCAGTTTCAGGCATATGACAATGATTTGATATTCCTATACATCTTGAAATTAAAAGTAGGTATTTTTAAGGGAAGAGAAATCAACCATAACTTAGCAATTTGATCAACTGTTTTTTGAAAAATAATTATTTGTGTATGTTCCCTTTTAATTCCTGTCCAGGTGCATTTTGAATGGTTTTATTTTCCATGTATTTTTCTGGAAAATATAATGAGGTCATTGAATTAAAATAAAGAATAAAGATAAGGAGAAGAAAGGAGTATCACATACAGCACAAAACCCCTGGGGAGGAATACTTAGAAATCATCTTTTGGACTCCAACCTCTTCCCTAGAAATTCTCGAAATGTTATTGTTCTTATCACTCCATTTTCACAACCAATGTAAGGTCCTTATTTTGTGTGATATTTTGTCTGTGTAAATATAAGCTTCTAAAGGGAGAAAACATGGCTACAGATGGTCAGGTGGTATCGATGATAAAAGACTGTAGTTCCCAGTCTTGGCAATAATGGCTGTGGTACCCGGGAAACACAATGGAAAATACAGTCAGGTGAGCTGGAGACGTGCTGATGACCTGTGAGAGCGAGGATGCACCAGACGGCAGGGCCAGGGCAGGGCTGGAGATAAGGACTGGGTGATGGTACTGCTGTGTACGGCAGCAACAACGGTCAGACAGGCTGCCACGCAATTCTTCATAGATCACAGCAGTGAAAGGGGCCCAGTGAGTCAAAGGACTGGACAACACGCACAAGTAAAAGCCCAAGAGCAGAAAATGCAGGCTGGAGGCCTGCCTGGCTCCTGGCTCAGAAGACCTGTTTGGTTGATAAAGACTTTATACCCCGTGTTAAATTGCAGGGCTCTCACCCAGGGCAGCTTGGTTAGCTCTTTGCTGCTCTCCTGAGGAATCAAAAGCAGTAATCATGGATGACTGCAACAGATTCCAATTCCCCATGACAGAGTGGCAGCCTCTCTGTCTGGGAGCCCTAGGGAGTCACACGGGACAGCAGGACTCAGACAACCAGGAGACTGGCCGACTCCACCCTGCCCCAGTCATCTGTGGGATAGGTGGGTGCAGATACCAGAGGGCTTTTGGGGCACTGGGATTTTCCCACTCTAAGACCTAGCCCATCTCCCCTTCCTTTCTTTCCAGAGATTTAACAGGCGTGAGTGCTTAGTCACTCAGTCATGTCTGACTCTTTCCAGTCCTTTCAACTAGCTTGGCACGTTCCTCTGTCCAGGGGATTTTTCAGGTAAGAATGTTGGGGTTGCCATTTCCTTCCTCAGGGGATCTTCCCAACCCAGAGACTGAACCAGCATCTCCTGTGTCTTCTGCATTGCAGACAGATTCTTTACCCACTGAGCCATGGGGAAAGCTCCAGAAATTTAACAGGGATCAATCGACCCTGATGCTGGGAAGGAGGGCAGGAGGAGAAAGGGGTGGCAGAGAATGAGATGGTTGGATGGCATCACTGACTCAATGGACATGAGTTTGAGCAAACTCTGGGATATAATGAAGGACAGGGAAGCCTGGGGTGCTGCAATCCATGGATCACAGAGTCAGACACAACTGAGCATCTGAACAACAATAAACTCAAATGCTAGTCCTGATTGCTTCTAAGTAATAGTATGGCTTTTGACAAGCCAGTTAAATCCACAGACCTGAAGAGGCTTCTTTCTGCATTAAGTGCAGGAACCAGCCCCACAGCCATTGCTAAGACTGAAGATGCCAAAATCCTAGTCACTCTGTGAGTTTTATTATGAAAGTGACACTGACCAATACGTTTAACCTGTATGGATGATTAGAATGAAAATAATAATTCTCTCATTCTTTGGAGCTGAATGGACTTCAGGACTTGAACATTATTTTATGCAGAGGAATAGTCAATAATGAAATGATAAAAAATAGTTTAAAAAGGAACATACATCTTCAAGGTATGTCTTCTTTCCACTATCTGCATTTAATTTCTACTTCTCCATTTGGGCCACTCTTGCTTTTAGAACTACACCTGCTGCTTCTTATCCATATCAAACCCCTTCCAGGCACCTTGGCCAAGGTTACTACTTCTAGAATTACCTACAGTAGAAGCTACCAGAACTGGAGTTTAATATAGATGTAGTTCTTTAAGAGAGAATATTAAAGTTAACAAAATATTTTAAAAACCAATTCAAATTTTTCCTCATTTACTTAGTCCCAGTATATAAAACGAGGAAGGCAATGGCACCCCACTCCAGTACTCTTGCCTGGAAAATCCCATGGACGGAGGAGCCTGGTAGGCTGCAGTCCATGGGGTCACTAAGAGTCGGACACGAATGAGCAACTTCACTTTCACTTTTTACTTTCACTCATTGGAGAAGGAAATGGCAACCCACTCCAGTGTTCTTGCCTGGAGAATCCCAGGGACGGGGAAGCCTGGTGGGCTGCCGTCTATGGGGTCGCACAGGGTCGGACACGACTGAAGCGACTTAGCAGCAGTATATAAAAAGTATAAAATATAAAATCATACACTTAAAAATTTTGACTACTTTCTTCATTTAAAAGAAATACTAGGGCTTCCCTGGTGGCCCAGTGGTAAGGAATCTGCCTGCCAATGCAGGAGACACAGGTTTGATCCCTGGTGCAGGAAGATTCTATAGGCCATGGAGCAACTAAGCCTATTCACAAAAACTATTGAGCCTGTGTTCTAGAGCTCATGCTCTACAACAGGAGAAGACACCACAACGAGAAGCCCACTCTGCAACTAGAGAGTAACCCCCGTTCACCACAATCAGAGAAAGCCCATGCACAGCAACAAAGACCCAGCATAGCCAATAAATAAAAATTAAATTATATTTAAAAAAAGATGCTAGGATTTGTTGTTAGTCCAAATAAGTACAATACTTGGAAAATATCAGCCTGATATAGAACAAGATATGGCTAAATCAATAGACTAAGTTATATTCAATATTTCATATTACAAGATAATGGAAATAATTGGTTTCATAATGAGGGCCTCAGTTGTACACTGTAATTCATTATTATGTGGATTTAACTTATATTTGAATTATATAAACATAATCCAAACAAAGCTTAGGAAGGGCAGTTTTCTCTTTCCTTGTGCATAAAGGCAACATAATGGGACCAAATTAAGTACTTACCATTGCCAGACAGCGTAATGCCAGCCTTTGCATCATCATTGTAAGGGAAGTAAGTGCTGCAGTCTTCACCTACCCAGTGTCTGTTACACACACACTTCAGCTCATTACTGCAAACCTGAAATCCAAAATCAATCTAGAATCAACACTAACTCTTAGCTACAGAGGCATGAAAAATAAACATTAATTTTTAAAAATAAAAATTAATTGTGTTAATTGCTAATAATTATATGCCTAGAATTAGATAGGACTGGACATTTATTGGTACTCTCTTCTGATTTCTAATTACTTACTAATTATCTTACTCAAAAAATATTTTCTAGAGAGCAACAGTTGACCCAGAGGAAACATCAAAGTAAAAGAGAATTTATATTTCTTACACAAAAATCGATGATCAATTTGAATTTTGTTAACTCAAATTTTATGAGGGAGATATTAGAAAAATAAGCAGAATTACAATCATTTTCCAATTATCCAATACAAAGTTTTCTTCTTCTAAAGAAAGGCTCTTTATACCAAACTTTTATTCATCTTTTAGGAAGCAGATAAGATAAAGGGAAGCCTGACAAAGAAGAGGGGACGCCTGAGGCTTTGCAGTGGTCTGAGAAGAAAGCTTCACAAAACCATAACCTGGGCATCTCAACCCAAGCTCCAGAGCTTAGCTATCTCAGGGGTCATGGAATCTGAGAAGTCCCTCAAAGCCTAGGGGAAAAATTCACATAAACTGGCACCAAACTTTTAAAAATTATCAGACAATAATCTTCACTTATATATCCAGGAAACAGAACCTATGTTTCTGTTCTAAAGTCTTATTATTCAAAGCAACTTTGAAAGGAATGAAAAGTAGGAGAATTCAGTTAGGGTTAAGATCAGAGAAGTTCTTTAGGACTCAGGTTTGATTGGATAGGTTTCTCTGTCTGCTTGAATTTGCCAGAAGACAACATACATGCAGATTTAACTGTACTATAAATATGATAAACAAATTGCAGATTTCAAATTAATTCAGATTAGCAACTTTCTGCAGATTAACAAATATGCAGGAAGAAAAAAAAAAGGCCTGAGTTTGAGACCCCACTTCACCGACTATCTTTTCAACAGATCAAGTCAATAACCAGGTCAACTGGTTTCTCCAAGTATGTTTCCACATCATGCAGCAGCATCAGTGATACATTGACAAGAATTGCAACACTGTTGTACAATGATCATAATAAGCACATTCACAGCTGACATTATTGAATATTCACTGTGTCACAGGGATCGATCTAAGTATTATGTATCAGTTACAGGTGTTAATTCATTGATTCTTCACAACAATCCTGTATCCTGTATCCTAGGCAGTATTATTATTCCCACTTTATAGAAGAATGGAGTAAAACACAGATAGGGTAACTAATTTGCCCAATCTCACCCAGTTAGTAAGGAGGAGAGCTGGATTTCACACTCAAACTGTCTGGTTCCAAGCCCACACTCTTAACCTACATGATGTAAGGTATATAGAGAATATCTACTGTATTTCACATTTTAATTTTTGTCACATATACAAAGTTGAGTCACTGTAAGTTAAAAACACATAGGATATAAGCTTTCTGTATTATGCATAATTATTATAAATGATTGAATGCTATTTGCCACCTGATTTACTTGTGTCTATCACTCATTTGTGTGTGCATGTGTGCTAACTGGCTTCAACTGTGTCCAACTCTTTATGACCCTATGGACCAGAGCCTGCCAGGCTCCTCTGTCCATGGGGATTCTCCAGGAGAGAATACTGGAGAGGGTTGCAATTCCCTCCTGCAGGGGATCCTCCTCAACCAGGGATAAAACCTGTATCTCTCAGGTCTCCTGCACTGGCAGGGGGGTTCCTTACTACTAGTGCCACCTGGGAAGCCCCGTCACCCATCACTCATTTACTCATTCCTTAAACAGTTAATTAGCACAACTCTGTGTTACATACTCAGGACTTCTAGATGAATAAGATACAGTTATTCATTAGCATTATGATCAAGAAATTATTCCATTATGCTTTTCTCCCATCCCCCCAAAAGCATCTCTCCCTAACATACTCTTACTTATAAAGGAAAGAAGACTTGGCAGATTCCTTTAATCTAAGGAGCAAAACTAATTCCTGTATACCTTCTCTATTCTCCTGTACCAGAAGAATCCCTATTCTTAGGCAAAAAGTGACAGTTACTAAGACCTCCCTTAGGAAATTCTTGGTATATCCCTAAGGGATATACATGGAATGACTAGGATTGAAGGCTTGTCCTTCCAGGACAAGGATTCTCAACTGGATAGTATAACCAGAAGGAACCCAGAGAAGATAAAAAGAAAATCATGGCACATGCTAAAAGAAAAAGATTCAAGAAATTTTTGTTAGTGTAGGAATTCCTAACTGAAAATGACAAAACTGTAATTGCTAATAAAGCATGTTTATTTAACCTATAAATTTACCTATATCTTGTCAGATATATGCAGGAAGATAGAATTTAGCCTTTTAAATACCACCATTTTTTCTATTTGGGCTTCCCAGGTGGCACAGTGGTAAAGAATCTGCCTACCAATGCTGGAGATGCAAGAGACTTGGGTTTAATCCCTGGGTCAGAAAGATCCCCTGGAGAAGGAAATGGCAAACCACTCCAGTAATCTTGCCTGGAAAATCCCATGGACGGAGGAGTGAGACAGGCTACAGCCCATAGGGTCACAAAGAATCAGACATGACTGAGCACCACCAGCACCATCATTCTTTCTATTCATCTCTGAGATTCATTTCCTTAACTATTCTGCTTCTATTTCTAGATGTTATCCTCAGCTGGTACCCACTGTTTAAGTCAAGGCAATTATTTATGGTCTAACTGGCCAGTGCCTATACCATACCAATTGTTAAATATTGTGGCCACTGCCCCTACTTTGTACTCCCTTTTTCATCCCATTATAGTTTGTTAACATTTGTCTCCTAACTCACTTGTAGAAAACTCATATTATATTAAATTAGATCAATTTAACCTAATAAGAGTGGAAAATGGAAGAATTTGGTTAGGAAAATAAAACTTTTTCTCATTCTCAAGCTTTCACAGATTACACAACAGAAATATACAAATGACAATGACCACATGACTGTTTTATATCCTAGCTGGAGAAACATGGGCAAGCATGTTTTCCATTATTACAGAAACAGGCAGTTCAGGGTCATATCTGTTTCTCTGACACAAAAGAACTGAATAGATCCCTACGGTGAGGTGGTGAATACTTACTCCATTTCCAGAACAAACAGTGCCTTCTTTATTGCTTAAGCAAGTACTAAAGTTGAAGGAAGCCACAGGAAGACACCTGTGTTCTAAGCACATCATTTTGGGACCACAGGGTGTCCCATCTTCCACATAGCCAAGGTCGACATCTTCATCAAGCTTAACATGTCCGCCACTAAAAATAAATTGAGAGCAAAAAGAAAGCGGTATTCCATTAATTTACATTTATCTTGAGACTACATTTCAAAACTTAAAAGTAGGCAATATCACTTTCTCTATTTTCTCTTTATTACCTAATTTTAAAAGTAGCACAAACATTTTCAATCTCCAAATGGAGAAAGAAATTGAATCTTTTAATCTAATTATTTTCAGAGATATTTATATACCTTAGGATTTAAATATAATTATTATAACAAGGGCCTGAAATGGCTTTATCATTTTCCTTGGCTACTATGCCGTGTATAAGTCAAGTAAGTCATTATTAATAACATTTGATTTGATAAATAAGTACCTTCAAGATTTTAAATATATTTCAAACAAAGATGAGAATTTTTTAGTTTTGGTTACATTTCCCCAAAAGATTGTTCTATTTACAAACTACAGTTGACCTTTGAACAACATGGGGGGTAGGGGTACCACCCCTCCATGCAGTTGAAAATCCAAGTTCCACATCCATAGATTCAACCACTGGGGAATTATGTAGTGTTGTAGCACATATTTATGAAAAAAAAAAAAGACCTGTATTTACTGAAAACAACATGCACATAAATGGATCCTTGTAGTTCAAACCAGTATTACTCAAGGGTCAACTGTATATTTGAGAATGGCTAAACTACTGCAACAACTATTCAATATAGCAACCCATATATTAGGCAAGAGTGAAAAAGAAACAGGATAAAAACAATCAAATAAACAGGATATGGACTGAAAATGTATAGTCCTAATCTATTTATTCATATAGTACCATGTCAATGCTACTACAAAAATTTCCATTGTTTATTGTTTATTTATTTTTATCAAAATTATGCATGCATATAGTTTTATGAGTTAAATAGGCAAATTGGTTTTTACAATGCAGTGAAGGGATCCATCGCCCCTACTCCTCTTATATCCTTCCCTGGAGGAAATCACTTTCTACTTTTAACTGATTCTTTTGTTATTTATGTACATATTTTTAAATAATGAGTTTGTATCACTATTTTTAGTTTTCCTATTTTCAGTATTATCAATTGACTGCCCTCTATGGAATAGTTAAATCAACAGCAAATCATGCATTGTTAGGACTTATTAAATGAGTGATATAGTACACCATAATTATACCTTTTCTTTTACTCGTATGTTTCATTTTCCCTCAGAGTAGCAAGTCTCTTATTTGTTCACTGAATTATCTATCACTAACTCAGAATTACTCCAACCCTGTTGTCAAAATCTCTACTTAAGATGTGTCTGAACATCAGTTCATCTTGCTGAAATAATCTCTCCTAGAGTTTCCACTTGGAATTCCCCTGCTCCTATCTGATCTGGTTGGCCCCTGTAAATGGTACAGAGCCAGGTATCTTGGCTTTCTCCAAGATACTATTCATTGGAGGATTGCCCCATCTTTCTCCACAGTGGATGTCTTGTTTCCTAAATTCCCTATGTTTCCTTCTGTATTTTGATGGAGCACAGTTTCTAACAGCTTCCTGAGAAAGGACTTAGGGGAATAAACTTGGGGGAAACTTATCTAAATGTCTCTTTATTTTCTACCCTCACACTCGATTCATATTTTGCCTGAGTACAGAATTCTACTTTGGAAATTATTTTCTCCATTGTCATTTAGATCCCAGCACTCTTTGATAGATTTGAAACCATTCTAATGCCTACTCCTTTTTTTTTTTTCCCCTCTGTCCTCTCTGGAAACAGCTGGGATTCTTTTTCCTTAGGTTCTGAAATTTCATAATGATAAGTTTTGATGTATTAGCTAATTTGACTGATTTCACCTTGCACCTGGTGAGCCAGGCAATATGGAAATCCAAGTCCAAAGGTTCTAGATAACGGTCTTGGAGTTAGTCATTGCTAATTTCCTCCCTGCTGTTTTCTCTGTTCTTTATTATTTCTATTCTAACATGGTGAGCTTTACTCTATGTCCCTTTCTTTGCTTTTACTCTACTTTCTGGGAGATAATTTCAACTATTGAGTTTAATGTTTGCCATCTTTTTTTTTTAATTTCTAACAGCTTTCCTTTGTTTTCTCTTAATGTTCCTCATTTTTAAAAATTCTACCCTATTCTTGTTTCATGATAGAAGTATCTTAAAATATTTATAGGTAGTTGTTGCATTTTCTGATCATTTCTCTCTCTCTCTCTTTCCATGTTAGAGTCTTTCTTCACAAATCTGGTCATCTGTTTATATTTGAGTTGGGGAACCAGACAGATGATTGGAAGTTCTGGGACTTTCTGACTGAATATCATTGAGGCTAGACCACTTCTATATACTTCTGATAACTGATTTTTCTGCTGACAATAAGCTTGGAAACCTTCTATTTTATTCTTTGCAGACGGTAAAGCTCAAATCTTTCATGGGAGGGTGAGCAGTCACCAGCTTAGCTGGGTCGGGGAAGTAAGCTTTAGATCTAACAGCTTCTCTTACAGAGTTCACCTATCTTTTTCATTTGAATTTCTTCCTCCATCCCCAAGTCCTTTATTCCCTCTTCCAGAAGTAGATGAGGCTGCCCATTTTGAGCATTTTGGGACTGGCAGTATATATTGAGTCAGTTTCTTGGTTTTCCCCATTATTGACTGAGAACTTCAGAATTTTTAGTTTTGATAATCATCTGCCACACATCTATTTGTTCTCTATGTTCTAGAATCTTGTTGCTGCTGTTTCCTCTCCCTTTTTCTGCTTCCCTATGGACATACAAATTCTAGAAAAAAAATGTATTTAGTGTCATTTTAGTGGGATTCCATAAGGGAGCAAAAGAAGATGCATCTATTTAATCCACTGATAAGAATGAAATGCAAACTAAACCCTGCAAAATTTAACTGAACAATGAAACATAACTCTAGCTACCACACAATAGTCCACATTCAACTAATTCTTCCCTTCTTTCTATCTGTTCTGTCAAGATTTACTTAATCATCCCTATGGACTAGAATCCATTTCATCTTACTAACAAACATATGAACTGAAAACAGAAGTAATCCCAAGCTTCATTCCTGGGAAATAAGATGGCTAATGTTCTCACAGAATGGTTAGATCATTACCTGCAGTTTAACGTTCTTCCCTGCTGCACAACCAAAGTAGACGTGATCTCACCATCAAGTTCTCCAAGTCTTGGGATGTTACCAACGTTCGTACACAAAAGATAACCACAGAGCACGTCCCTGTGTTAAAAAAGCACCAGGTATTTACTTCTTCCCTCAAAGATACAGCAAAGTCTGTACAGTTAGAGCAATAATGTTATCTTACTTAAGCATTTGTTTTTTCATCAACTGTACTATTCCTTCAAATTACAAGCAAAACAAAATAACCTCAAATTAGTTTACTCTCGGCTTTAAAAATTGTCTTCTCTGAAACTTTTGGTGCACCAAAATCCCAACTATGTTCTAGATTTTCCTTTATTGTCCAAGTATTTATCTAAGGAAAATTACCCATCAAATGGACTTCTTTTATATCTGAACCTCCTTCCTCATAATAGTATATCACAGGATATACTAAGACATTTTAAAAAATATTTGATAAGTGAATGAATGAACTTTGAATGAGTATTCTTTCAGAATACAGTGTTTTCTTCAACCAATGGCACCAGAATTAAAGAACAGATTATATACTTTGTGACTTCTCAACCACATAGGATCATGATTCCTTTTCCAATATATTCTACTTCTCCCCCCAGCTAGCACATACAATTCTAATTTAACTTGTAAAATATTTTCATTTGTGTTAACTACTATCTTACATATTCTCTATATTTAACACATTTTAATCATTAATATAGGTAATGATAAACATATTCTAATAAATGTCTTGCAAAGACTTATTAGCAGGCCAGCAACTATATATGTAAATGTTAGACTTTACCATATAGAAAAAGAGAAAAATTAAGACTTGAATCTATCACCAACATAGAAAAATACATATTATTGTATTAAAAATAATTTTTTAAAGTTATATCATCACATTATTGTATCTATCACAAATAAAAATTTTTTTAACGTAGAAGAGATATACATTCAACATTTTTTATTGGAGTTTACTAAATACTTTAGTATATATTAAAAACATTAGATGATTTTTATTCTTAAGGAAATTATACTCTGGGTAAGAAGAGAAATTACACACATTAAACATCTATAAAACATAGAGTTAGTGACAAGGACCATAAAAGTAATGCAAAGGATGCAGGAGAAGAGGGAGGTGATTTATTTTCAGGGGAAATAAATAATAATAAATAAAATAATCCAGAAATAATTTACAGAGTAAGTGCTATCCAAGGGGATGGGGATGGGTAATTTTTTGGATAGGTAAAAATTTTTTATGGAGTATAAAGGGTACTTCCTAAAGTATGAATGGTACACATACCCGTGTGGAAGTAGGACAATAAAATATATTAGAAATGGCCAGGTTTGCTAGACTTCGAAAGAGTAGAAAAGAAAAAAACAAAATATGTAGTTTGGGGAAAATTACAAAAGAGGTACAGTGCCAAGCTAAGGTTCCATTTCATGCATTAAGCAAGATGGTATGACATTCAGCAAAGTGGTTAAGAGAGAATTCTAAAACCAGACTGCTGAACTCCAATTCTGCTCCTATTATATCCTACCTACATGACCTTAGTCAACTTAACTGTCTTAGTTTCCTCCTCCATCAAACAGGGCAAACTGCCATGAAGATTAAATGACATCACTTATGTAAAGTATAATACAGTTCCTAACACGTAGTGTGCACTCAATAGACGTTATTCTTACTATCAATTAAGTATCTGGAACCAGTGAAATTTGAACAAAGAACTGACATCATCAAAAAGGTTCAGGATAAGATTATTTTGATGGGATCATGCTAGATGCTGCTGGCCCAGACAACTAAGAGGTTTCTGTATTAGTTGAAGAATTGACATAGGTCTTAGTTGGGGTAATGCGATAGGCACAGAAATGAACAGATAAATTAAAGACAAATTGTGGAGGAATGAGAGAGAAGAATAAACATGATTTGCCATTTGGATAATGAGTCAGAGAGACGGGAGCATCAAGGATCACTCTGAGGCTTCTAAACAGAAGGAGAGTGAGATATTAAGATCTGTGGGGAAAAGAGTTCTTTATTAAAGTCAGAGTCAGATAATTCCATCTATCAGCACTGAGAACATTCTGTTGGCTTTCATTTTTGTTGCCTTTGAGATGCTGACAGATGTCTTCTAGGTGAGAGAGACCTAAGGCAGCCATAGGCATCACCTGAGCCTTGGGAGAGAGGTCAGAATACATACTGAGATTCAGAAACCCTCTGCAGAGGTGGCGTTGGAACTCTGGGAAGAGATGAGGGAAGGAGAATGCTTTATGGCATGCCGAAAACAGGAAAGTCCTGGTTGCTCAAGAAGTAGTGCCTGGAACTCAGGTATAAACTCAGCTAATTTCTCCATCTCACCGTTTGTTGCACTGTATCCACGTGTCTTTGTCTTTCCCACAGTTACCCTTCTCAGTGCCTTCTATATTCAGTTTCTCATAGCAGTATTTATCTGATGACATCACATCTGAAGCAGAATAGAATTTTCTATCAGTGAAAGATATACCATGTGAGCTGTTTAACTATTTGCAGTAAGGGGAAAACACTTGTGAAGAACTCTCCTCTTTCACTACAACGTTACCAATTACAAAAGTTGTACCCATGCTTCACAAGAGTTCCCCATACCAAAAGCATCCATCACTTGGGTACATTTCTCACAACTGCTCATTTAAAACTTGAAAACAAATCTATTTAGATCTTTGATATGATTCAGGCTGTAAGTTCTAAGAATAACACTCCTGAGAATTTAGCCAATAATTGGGGAAAGATGCTACCAAATGGTTCATTGACAAATATTCAATGCTTTAATCTCAGTGCCAGATAGAAAGCATGAATTTTTCACTCAGCAACTTTTATGAATCCTAAAGACAATTTTATTAAAAGAATGATGCACAATAATTAAAGACTCAAGAAAGAGCAGTATTTCCACCTTGTTTATTAATTCTTTGTTTTAAATTATTTTTTTTCCTTTATTTGTATTAGTTGGAGGCTAATTACTTTACAATATTGTAGTGTTTATTAATTCTTAATGGCTATCAAAACATTACTCTGCTTGTAAGCAAACTTGAATTCATGTTAAATCTCTGACTTTCAAATAACATTTTAAGTCATGTAAGCATTTTTGTCAGGATTTTATTTTTGCTAAAGCCAAGGTCAGTTTATGGAGCTATCCAAGATTTAGATCAAAACAACTTTTGCAAACTAATCAAAAGATGACTGTCAGTGTATATTTTTTAAACTGATAATGTTTGGTAGTTTCTTTTCCTACTTCTTGCTGTCAGCCACTAATTTTTCTCAAGAGGAGGAAGCAAAAACCATATTTTTTTGTCCAGAGCATAAGCCTACATAACTAAAATGTTCTCCCATCCCAATGTTTCTTTAGTTGTTCAAAAGAGAGCATACACTTCCTTTCCCCAAAGGATCATAGCCAGTATTTGTGACAGTTAAAGGTTATCATTATCTTTATAGCTTGCTTTCCAATATAAATCATCTTTTCAAAGAGTTCAAAGCAAAAACTTCTTTCAGAAGGGCCAGTAATACTTCTGGAAAAATATAACATTTAAATATGCACTCAAATTAAATATGTTTTAGATATAAATGTTACATATTTCCTTCTGAAAATCTGCCAAATTTTGAAAGGAATAACATTAAAATTTCTTTCTGATATGACAGAGCTACCCTAGCAGAAATTCACCTGTAACTAGGAAAACCAGCTAGAGTTTGAGAAAGAGAGATAAGAAAGAAAAAGCAACTCTAGCTAAAAGGCTACACTTCTTATCCAAGGGTGCCCCACTCAGGGTCCATGTCCATTCCACATGGCTGATGGGTTTTGCCTGAGGATACTAAGTTAAAGACAGCATAAGAGGAGCAGAAATCCAGGTTGCGTTGTTCTCCAAGTTGCATATCCTAGAATGGATTTTACCTTTCTGGCAGCAAAGGCACTTTCCACCAAAGACATGGCTAACTAGCCAAGATGTATAGAGCTGTGTCTTATCAAAGGAGGTGCTTTTCTCTAATTTCCACCAAAGTGCTCCTGCTAAGAGCTGCAATGGTTCTGAAAGTCCCTGAGTCATAATAAAGTGGTTGGAAAATTACTTCCATCCAGTTCACATGCCCTTGGGCCAGATACCATACTTGGAGAAGGCTCAAACCTTGTTATTTACTCACTTTGCCCCCAGATGTATTTGCATTGTCTATCCCTGGTTTTACATCTTCCTCCAAAGCAAATTCCCTAAAATGAAAAAGCATACCCATTAGCAGCACAATGTCTACTTCCATCAGGTAACTGAAAAATATGTCTAAGAAAACTAATAGATGAGTATTATAAAGCCCTTTTATCTTCAGAGTTGACTAAAAAACATTTAATATGATCTTCCTATTTTGATGAGACTTAGTATTTTTTCATGCTGGCACATAGGAAACACTTAGGTAAAGATGAAGCAACCTACCTGGACACCATCACATGAATAACCATCCATCTTATGAATATTGGGGGCACACTAGGAAAAGAAAACAGAAATATGAACCAAATGCACAGCAAGATATTAAGATGAGCTAATCTCTTTAAAGGTTTTCATTTTGAAAATGAAGTCTGATAATATAGGGTAGTCTCCCAAATCATCTGAAAATTAGAAAACAAGATCAAGAGAAAACAAAAGGAAATGTAACAATTGATGCATTTTCCCCTAAAAATGTGGATCTACCAGAGGAAGAGAGCAGTTGATTTGTAAATCCTTATTTACAAATAAAAAGAACCAACAGCAAAGACTCAGCTAACTTATATAGACACACTACTCCTCAGAGTAAGATAAAACAGAACGTAAGACAAAGTCAAAAGGATGCCACCAGATGGAGCAACAGATATGGTTTCCTCTTTTTTAACCATGAGAAGTAACAGTTCTTATACTTAAAATGATTCTCAAGTGAAAGTCTACCTTGGACATGTCAGAAAAAGACATGTTTTATAGCCACCCCCCCACTTTTCTTCCCTTGGAGCAATTGCAGAAAAGACTTCAAAAGACTGCAAAGCATTCCTATGTGGATAGAAACAGAGTGTAACTTTAAAATTTATTATACATTTTTCTATTATTATAGTAATTACATACTTATTTGAGAAAAGTTAAGAAATGTAAAAAAAAAAAAAAAACAGGAAAATTGAAAGACCAAAGTCTCTAATATTCCCACCATCCAGAGACAACTATTTATTATAATTTGGTACATTTTTTCCTCTACATTTTTCTACAAAAATGTGGTATTTTATAATATAAGTATAATCAAATTATAAATAATGCTTTATATTCTGTTTCAGCCCTTCATTTTCATCATGCAAATTTAATTGTATCATAATAAACTTTTTTGTAGGTATCATCTTTATAGCTGTAACACATTCCCTGAGCTAACAAGTCATATAATCAATGTATTAAAATATTTACTTACAGTTATCTCAAATTTATGCTGTTACAACCAATGCAACAAGAACACCTTTGTATGCACATTATTTTCAGATTTATAATTCTTTTAAAATCCTGCTTATCACATAATTACATTTTAAAGAAGTTGCTTTAATATACTTTCATTCCCAGAGCCCATTATGTAATCATTCATTGTATCCCCATCCTCACTAGGTGTAAGTTTAGGAAAACAGTGCTAATTAGACAGTAAGAATGCAAATCTTTAATCTCAGAATGACTGCTTTTAACAGACTTTTGGACTCTGTGGGAGAAGGCGAGGGTGGGATGTTTCGAGAGAACAGCATCGAAACATGTATATTATCTATGGTGAAACAGATCACCAGCCCAGGTTGGGTGCATGAGACAAGTGCTCGGGGCTGGTGCACTGGGAAGACCCAGAGGGATCGGGTGGAGAGGGAGGTGGGAGGGGGGATCGGGATGGGGAATACATGTAAATCCATGGCTGATTCATGTCAATGTATGACAAAAACCACTACAATATTATAAAGTAATTAGCTTCCAACTAATAAATGAAAAAAATTTAAAAAAAATAAAATAAAGCATTTTTAATGGTTAAAGTAGGGCTTCCCAGGTGGCACAGGAGTCAAGAATCTGCCTGCCAATACAGGAGATGCAAAAGATGCGGGTTTGATCCCTGGGTCAGTAACATTCCCTGGAGCAGGAAATAGCAACCCACCCCAGCATTCTTGCCTGAAAACTTCCATGGACAGAGGAGCCTGGTGGGCTACAGTCCATGGGTTCGCAGAGTTGGACATGACTGAGCACAGCACAGATACACCACTACTGATTCTCTCTTCTCTAGAGAAAGAAAGATGTGGGCAGTCTTCATTTTGCATGGCTCCAGTGTAAAGGAATTTCACTCACTATGGTTTTGTTAAATGACACCAGTACCCCAAGGACACAGTTCCAATGTCAGTCACCATAGTAGATTAAGTGTGAATAACTGCATGAAGAACAAACTTTGCTATTAGCTCTTCAGTCCACCGATTGCTTGGTAAATAAGATACGACCATCACAGTTAACAGCCCATCTAGTCACTTCTTTCAAAGTCTGTCAGGATTGATCACTGAGCATCTGTTCATTCAGTTCATGTACAGACAAAAAAAAGAGCTTGGTGCCTTTCTTTCTCTGGGTTATATCACGTGGCATCTTATAATAAAACTGAATAGTTGAAAGAGGAAACTGGCCAACAAAGGTGAAAATACAGCAAAGAAATGAAAAGTAATAACACTGGAAGAGAAATTAAAATCAAATGTAAATAGCACGACAGAAAAAAAAAAAATCAATGACTTTGGGAATGGGATGCTGATACCACTGTTCAGCAAAAAAACTTCCCATTCACAACTTCACATCTCTTGGATATTTCCTGACATTGAAAGCACAAAGGATCATGTCAAAAAACTGACCCAAACTTAGAAAGAAGAGTAGCAATTCAACAAGGCTTAGGAAAGATGCTCACTAAGTATCATAAGGTTTCTGACCAGGAGAAGGCAAGCACAGCTCAAATTACCGATAAGTTTCTTACAAAGAAATAAAATACATTAATTTTCAATATTTTTGTTTTAATTTAATGTTAGCTAAATAAATATTAGTTCATTTTTTTTCATTTCCCTATTCATTTAAGACCAACAGGGAGTTTTTAATCACCTGATATTTTTTAAAGATCACAGAATAATTGTAAATTTTTCCATTGATTACTACAATACTTCACATGGTTTCAGCTTTTATGGTCACTTTTGTGATCCTTCATTACAATGCAAAGCAAGCACTGCCTGTATACACGTACACGGAGATCTGTGATCGCCTGTCAAAGTTTATTAACTTCTGTGTCTTCCCTGAAGTGAAAGTGTTAGTCGTTCAGTCATGTATGACTTTTTTCAACTCCATGGACTGTAACCGGTCAGGCTCTTCTGTCTGTGGAATTCTCCAGACATGAATACTGGAATGGCTAGCCATTCTCTTTTCCAGGGAGTATTCCTGACCCAGGGACCCATGTTTCCTGCATTGCAGGCAGATTCTTTACCATTTAAGCCACTAGGGAAGCCCTTATCTTCCCTACTGACAACTAAATGATATTAAATTCAAAAGCAGCAATTAGTGGCAAGCTGTTTCAGGTAAATAAAAGTCAAGAGAGGCCCTGTCTCAGAACCCAATATCCTGTGGTTCTCTCTGCCTTACCTGATTCGTTTCAACCAGTTGAACAGAAAGTCTTTCTGTTTCCTCCTTCACTAGCTAGACTAAACACAAAAGCCTTTTATTTCCTACTTTCAACAAAAAAAAAATAGTTAAGGCAGATATACATTCTTAAGATTAGTTCAACGTTAAGACAAAACCACACTGAACATCTGCTCAAGCTTTGATTACTGAAACTTCAATTCCCAAAAAATTAATGAAAGGAGAGGAAGAGTTGACATGAAAGAGAAACATGAACATCTTACCCATTTCCATTCCATCTGAGGGTCAGTTCACTAAACAAACTCCTACTTTTTCCCCCTTGGATTCAGAGAAATTATTCATAAGTTACCTGGCTTGAATTTCCAGAGCATGTTTCACGAATATCACAATCATTTACTGCTTCACGGCACACGGTTCCCATAGGCTGAAACTAAAATGAACAAAACTCAATGTGCAAAACTGTCAAAGGAAAAAAAAAACAACAAACCTCTTACAGTATCATCTTAAAAATGCAAAAGGAAATTTTTTGGATAGGAATACCTTAAACTAGTTTAAGATGAAAATCTGTGAAAACCACAGCTACTGCATGAAAATGTTAATTTAATAGTTCTCAGGGCGAGTTTCTCACATATGAAATAATTTGCATAGTTATCACACATAGCCTTACAAGATCTAGCTAAAATAGGATGTGCTTGATGGTACATCTGTACCAGAAGGACAAGCCAGTCCAAGTTCCAGCACTTCTTTCTTCCAACTAGCTTATGGGTTTATATTTTATCCTTCATTCTTACTAGCACTTTTATCACATTATTCTTCTTTACCTCATCAGCTAAGAATTTGAAAGTTACATTTTGGACTGAATTGTAAAAGTTAGAGGAAATGGCAAAGCTATTTCCTCTCATGATTTCCTTTACCATCTTCTCTTCTCTTCTCATCATGTTTTTTTTTACAGATCTATAGCTTGGTCTTTTATTCCCTTTTAATGTTTCTATTATTTGTACCTGTCTGTAAGAGTCTTCTTTGGTCTGTTTTCAACTCAAATATTTTTTTTAAGTGTAGGAGTCATATAAATTTGTATGCTTGTTGGATTCAGCAGTTGCAAGAGTATTCATTAAAACAAAACAAAAAGAGATATATATATAAATCTACCATCTTTCTCTTTTCCTCTTCAATCCCACTCTCCTTCTTGCTCTAAAAGGTTACTATTTGGGGCTGGGTCCTTCCATGTTTTTAACTCTGCTCACACAAACATATACAGTATTCTAGACCCCTTCTCTCCCCCACCACACACACCCATACAACTTTCATTTCATTGTTCACCAACCCCCAGGCAGTTGAGTCTCCTGTTGCTCATAGAACATGAGCAGCACACTGCCAACTCCAGTGAGGAATTCAACAGATACTTTCCAGAAGAGCTGAACAAAATTTTGTGTTTGTTCATTCATTCATCAAGCATTTACTAGGCACATGTGCTAGGCACAGCCTGTGGAGATTCAACAGAAAACAAACACAAGAATCTTGTGGGCAAGGAACTTAGATTTCAGTGGGGATGATATCACTCTAATGACAGAAAGTGAAGTGGAACTAAGGAGCCTCTTAATGAGGGTGAAAGGGGAGAGTGAAAAAGTTGGCTTGAAACTCAACATTCAAAAAACGAAGAGCATGGTATCTGGTCCCATCACTTCATGGCAAACAGATGCGGGAAAAGTGGAAGCAGTGGCAGTTTCTATTTTCTGGGGCTCCAAAATCACTGTGGACAGTGACTGCAGCAATGAAATTAAAAGACTCTTGCTCCTTGGAAGGAAAGCTACGACAAACCTAGACAGCATATTAAATATGTGATGTCGGCAGAGACATTACTCTGCCAACAAAGGTCTGTATAGTCAGAGCTATGATTTTTCTGGTAGTCATGCACAGATGTGAGAATTAGACCATAAAGAAGTCTGAATGCCGAAGAATTAATGCTTTTAAATTGTGGTGCTGGAAAAGACTCTTGAGAATACCTGGGACAGCAACAAAATCTAACCAGTCAATCCTAAACGAAATCAATCCTGAATATTCACTGGAAGGACTGATGCTGAACCGGAAGTTCCAATACTTTGGCCACCTGATACTAAGAGCCAACTCATTGGAAAACACCCTGATGCTGGAAAAGACTGAAGGCCAAACAAGAAGGGGAAGATAGAAGATGAGATGGTTAGATAACGTCACCAACTCAATGGACGTGAATTTCAGCAAACTCTGGGAGATAGTGAAGTACAGAGGAGAGGGTGTGCTGCAGTGCATGGGATCACAAAGAGTCAGACACAACTTAGCAACGGAACAACAACAACAAATAGGCCATAAAAATAAGGAAACAAGCAAGATACGTTAATTTCATATACTCTGGTTCTTTTCCTCCTGGGAATTAGTACGAGGTACAATTCTAGAACTTCTGACGTAGAAGTATGAGCAGGTTTAAGGTACAGTTCATAAAAGAGTGAAAATGTTCACAAATTGTCAGTAAACTTCCAAAAATAAGCATGGTAAAGGAGGACTTGTACTAAGGGCTGGGGTGAAGCAGTAAATCAACCCAAATCACTGCCCTCTTGGAATTTTCATATAAAGAAAAGAGAAAATGAGTAAAGAAATAAATAAGCAATATTTTACAGGAGTTCCCAAATCATGCCTCAAGGACAATTTTGGTTGCCTGTTTGCTTTGTATATGAAGTTTTATTAGAACACTGCCACATATGTTTGCTTCTGTATTTTTGATGGGCTGCTTTCAAAGAAAGAGTTAAGCAACTGACATAAAGACCTTATAACCCACAAATTTGTCCCTTTACAGAAAGTGTCTGCTAACTCTGATTTATAGATAAATTATTATAAACACATATAGAAGAAAACAAAAATACACAAGCTTTCTCATTTTGCTCCTCTTTTCCATTCACTCTTCTGCTTCTGACTCCTCTAGGAGCCCAGGGTGGGGTGAGATGGGAGTATGGGGTAGAGAAAGTGGCAGAAAATATCTTACTTGACTGGTAAAGTATGACTCATATTCTAAGATAGTTAACCATACCATTTTATTTTATATATTTTAATTCTATTATTTTGTACTTGCTCCTTTCAATGATTATATCACAAAGAGCTTAATTCTATAAATCCAAGAAAAAAATGGCATAACTGACTGCATTTGATGGACCAGTCAGTTCAGTCGCTCAGTCGTGTTTGACTCTTTGCGATCCCATGGACCGCAGCACGCCAGGCCTCCCTGTCCATTACCAACTCCCAGAGTTTACTCAAACTCATGTCCATTGAGTCAGTGATGCCATCCAACCACCTCACCCTCTGTCATCCCCTTCTCCTCCCACCTTCAATCTCGCCCAGCATCAGGGTCTTTTCAAATGAGTCAGTTCTTTGCATCAGATGGCCCAAGTGTTGGAGTTTCAGCTTCAATTTGATGGATGGGCAGACTTAAAACATTGAGGATTAAAGTATATGATTGGGAATTCCTAGATGGCAATTGGAGAAACTGACAGAATAAACAGCTGAGGTAGACAAAATGAAAAAAATATCTCTTTCACATTTAGTTTGGTCTTCGTTTTTTAGAGAGTGCTTTCAGAGATCTCTGCCAGTGCCTTGCTTCTCTTAAAACTCTGCCAGAGACACAGTGGTAAAGTGGGGATGACAGAAACTACTGCCAGTATATCTGGGGTGTAACTGCACAGTTATTCTTTACTAGCTGACTGAGACTATGCAAGTTATTTCACTTCCCTGAGATTGGCAATGCTCAGAGGGAAAACATCTGGATAATAATATCATTCCCCAAAGTGTAGCTATGAGCACCATCTAAGACAGCAATCTCAACCAGGGGATATCTGGCGATGTTTAAGATGTCGTGGTGTCATGACTTGGAGGGATGCTGTTGATAACTGGGAGGCAGAAGTCAGAGGTGCTGCTAAATAGCCTACAAGATGTAAAATAACCCTCACAATAAAGAACAATCTGGTCAAAAGTATCAACAGTGCCACAGTCAGGAAACCTGGATACAGGATGATATAATTTGCAAGTACTTAGTACTGTTTCTGGCACACAGTAGGGCATTTAATATGATAGGTTCATATTTTGCCCTCTCTTAACTCATTAGAGCCAATCAATCAGCAAAGAATCAGTAAGAGAATGCTGTGCATGTTTATTCATTCATTCACCAATTATTTACTGAAGTCTTGTTCCAATTACAGTGTAAGTGCCTGGCTCTGCCTCTGCAAAATGTACAGACTGAAGGGAAAGAAAGATATTATACCTTAGAAATAATATAAAATTATACCAGATTTTATATGAGAAAAGAAAAAATAGATTTCTGTGAGCAAGGTAAGCCCCAAATTACCACAGTCTTGATGTAACGGCTTAAATATTTGGAGACAGGCATGACGATGTTATTGTGAGAAGGAAAATAGACAAGATGTATAAAGATGCTTTGAACAGTAATGCACAACACATGAAAGGTGTTTTAATGTCTACAAAGATTTCCTTTGTTGCCTCAACAGCTAGTACACAAGATATTCCAGGTTGAGCACCATGAAAAGGAGGAGATGACACCACCCTTATGGCAGAAAGTGAAGAACTAAAGAGCCTCTTGATGAAAGTGAAGTGAAAAGGAGAGTGAAAAAATTGGCTTAAAACTCAACCTTCAGAAAACTAAGATCATGGCATCTGGTCCCATCACTTCATGGCAAATAGATAGGGAAACAATGGAAACAGTGACAGACTTTATTTTGGGGGGCTTCAAAATCACTGCAGATGGTGACTGCAGCCATGAAATTAAAAGCTCCTTGGAAGTAAAGCTATGACCAACCTAGACAGCATATTAAACCAGGGACATTACTTTGCCATCTAGTCAAAGGTCCATCTAGTCAAAGCTATGGTTTTTCCAATAGTCATGTATGGACATGAGAGTTGCACTATAAAGAAAGTTGAGCACCGAAGAATTAATTTTTTTGAATTGTGGTGTTAGAGAAGACCTTTTAGAGTCCCTTGGGCTGCAAGGAGATCCAACCAGTCCATCCTAAAGGAAATCAGTCCTGAATATTCATTGGAAGGACAGATGCTGAAGCTGAAACTCCAATACTTTGGCTACCTGATGCGAAGAACTGACTCATTTGAAAAGACCCTGATGCTGGGAAAGATTGAGGGCAGGAGGAGAAGGGGATGACAGAGGATGAGGTGGTTGGATGGCATCACGGACTCAATGGACATGAGTCTGAGCAAGCTTTGGGAGTTGGTGATGGACAGGGAAGCCTGGTGTACTGCAGTCCACGGGGTCGCAAAGAGTCAGATATGACTGAGCAACTGAACTGGACTGAACTGAATTGAATATCTACTTGGCTTTACAATAAAGGAAAAGCATCATTCAAAGAATAGTTTCATTTAAATTATATTATATTGTTATTATTATTAATATTATTACATATATATTATAGCACATTAAATGGTTTCATTTAAAGTCCACGCTCTTCAGGGAGGCAGTAGAAAGAAGACAAACTCCAGGGATTACAAACACATAGGCCCTAGCTCCTTATTTACTTGGTATTTTTAATCACTACAAGCCTCAGTTTTGTCATCTGTTAGATGGGAATAAAAACAGTATCTACTCCTCACAAGACTTGTGAGACTCCTATAAAGCCTCTGGCACTTGTCACTCAACGTATATCAGGTCTTACTATTGTCTATTGTTATTTGCTTATATTTACCTTAAATATTAACTATTTAAGTTATTGCCTTATTAACTTATCAAATATGTCCTCTTTTCTTTCAGTTGGTTATCAATCAACATTTATTTACCTTGCACTTTTTACAACAAAGACCATCACTGCATTGGGAGTCTTGAGTCAAGGTACATTTCTTACAACACTCTGCTCCTTCAAGGACACATTCCTAAGGAATATAAACATTTGGAAAATGTCAGAAAGTGGTGTCATTTTCCTGAAAGCAACAGGATATTTTCTAAAATAAATTGTACAGCCTCAAAATTATCATCTTTATTCCAGAAATCTTATGAAATTTCTAGGCACAACACTTGCTCTGTATGGTTCAGTGTGGATCTAGAATAACCCCAAATAACCTAAAGAAATCATCCAAACACAAAGACTTACTGCCGGGGTCCCACAGTCACACTCCTCGCCAGTTTCAATGAAGCCATTGCCACACTCAGGAGGATCAAGAAGCTGTGGAATGAAAACCAGGAAGGGCACTAAAATGTAGAAAAATCAGCACCAAATATAATATGAGAGATCACAAGTGTCACACCTACACTTCTGGCCTGTCAGTCATTTCAAACTATATTTTTATTTCCCTAAGCTATAAAGTATGACTGTAGAATTTTAGAACTGGAAACTTTAGAAGTGTCTAGTATTGATTCCATTTCAGACTTAATCATATTTTCATATATAACATACACACCAAATAGGGTCTGATAAGTGCCATCAAAGCAAAAGATGATCTAGGCATTGGCTAAAACAAAGCCAGAAGGACTCCTAAAATTTCATTTCAAACAGAAGCAAGAGATTTGGAGTCAGGATGTCTGTATTCAAATCTTGGCTTAGCCAAGATACACTTGGGCAAATGGCTTGCCATCTCAGAGCCCAAGTGTTTTAATATTTAAAACAATAATAACAATAATATTAGCTTCCATCTACATAATGAATTGTTTTGAGGATCAAATAAAATTACCTGTGAAAAGCTCTTTTTCAACTGTATTAACTTGTGAAACAAAGTTATTTTGTGGGCAATGAGGAAAACACACAAAAATTAATAAATTCACTGATTTATTTAATATAAAATTCAGCTCTACCTATTAACATAGCTCTGCAGAGAACAGTAGTAATAATTTGCCCCAGAGATGGGGATTAATGAGAGGAGAAAGACCTCCTTTTCCATCAGTATGATTTATGATTTGGTATCCAAAGGGGAAAAAAAAAAATGCATCAAGAGAATGAAAAAGAAATGCAAAGTAAAACCATTTTTGTAAGCAAACCCTGAATCCTCATTTGGCTTTATGAAAAGAAAATGAACGCTTTCCAGAAAGCAAAACTCTAATTTATACCTGCTTTTTATTCCCATCAGAATAGCCCATGATTAATTCAATTCAGAAATGCAGACATTTAGCATATCAAGAATACGTACACATGAGCCAAGCTGAAAAGTTTCATTCCATAAAACACAATGAATGAAAATTTGTGTTTATATACTTGAGAAAGATTAATAACTTAACAACTCTGATTACACTTATTACCTTAGAAGGTTTGTTGAAAAGGCAAGCACCACCTCCACTATTTAGGAAGTCATGATACTCTTCAATATTACACTGGGTAAACTTTTTAGGAAGATAATATCTATAAGAGAGAAGAAAAGCATTAGCTGGGTATAATTTCTGTCTCCCTTGTTTGTAAACTAGTTTCAAAATTTAACACTGTTAACACTGTACATTATTCCTAAAAATTAAATAAATAAATAATAAATTCCACTTATGTAACATCTGCTTTGAGAAGGGAATGGCAACCCACCCCAGTATTCCTGCCTGGGAAATCCCATGGACAGAGGAGACTGGAGGGCTACAGTCCATGTGGTCACAAAAGAGTCGGACACAACTTAGTGACTAAACAACAACAATACATTCTTCTATCGTGTTGAATAGTGACTAGTGGTAACTATGTGCTCAGTCAAATCCGACTCTTAGCAACCCCATGGACTGTAGCCACCGGGCTCTTCTGTCCATGGGATTTTCAAGGCAAGAATACTGGAGCGGGTTGCCATTTCCTCCTCCAGGGGATCTTCCTGACCCAGGGATCAAACCCATGTCTCTTGTATCTTCTACACTGGCAGGCAGATTCTTTACCACTGTGCCATCTGGGAAGTCCAGTGGTGACTATGATTTGCTCTGCATTATCTCCATACCCATTCAAAGGAAACACACACCTACATACCTGTAATTTCCATCAGAGAGAGTTAGAAATAATTTATTTCACAATAAGTCTTTCCTAAATATTAAACCTGGGCTGGAACCCAAACGGCAGAGCATTCTGCAAAATAACTGACCTGTAATCTACAAATGTGTCAAAGTTGTGACAATCAAAATAGACAGGAATTATCCCCGACTGAAGAGACCAAAACCTGACTGTGATAAAAAAAAAATCCTGATTCTGAAGTTTTTGCTAAAATGACATTGTAGAAACACAGGGCCAATCCTGAATGAGGGCTAAGAATTAGATGATTTTCTTGGTTAAATTGTGGTCCTATAGGAAGATGCCTTTGTTTATAGAAATGTATATTTTTTGTTGTTGCTGTTGTTGTTGTTGTTGCTTAGTCACCAAGTTGTGTCCAGTGTCCAACTCTTCATGATTCCATGGACTGCAGCACACCAGGCCTCTGTCCCTCACCATCTCCCTGAGTTTGCCCAAGTTTATGTCCACAGAAATGTCCATTGTTTAGCATTTTGAAGTGACAGACACCATGGCAGAACTTATGATTCAGAAACAAAAGGTTCTTTGTAACTATTCGTCCAATTCTTCAAGTCTCAGATTGCTTCAAAATACTATATATATGTCCCAAAATAATATATACTTTTATTATATATATTTATAATATATATATATATATATATATATACACAAACACACCCCATAATAATCAAGGGTCAATAGAAAAAGAAACCTGGCAATAGAACAAGTTGGTAATATGCATTAAGAATTTTCAGAATGTGAAATAGCCTTAAATCTAGTAATTTTACTTTTAGAAATTTTTCTTGAGGAATTAATTTGCTATGTGTGCAGAGATGTCTGAATGTAGATATTTATGGTGGCACAATTTTTAGCAGCAAATAACATGAAAATAACCTAAATGTTCAACAGAAAACTGTTAACTAAACTATGATGTATTAATAAAACTAAAACACCATGTGGTGGTTTAATCGCTAAGTTGTGTCCGACTCTTGCGACCCCATGGACTGTAGCCCGCCAGGCTCCTCTGTCCATGGGATTTTCCAGGCAAGAATACTGGAGTGGATTGCCATTTCCTTCTCCAGGGGATCGTCCCAACCCAGGAATTGAACCCAGGTCTCCTGCATTCACGGCAGATTCTTTACTGACTGAGCTACTAATAATCATAGTGTTAAAGAATGAAGACTTAGAAAAATGATGACTATATAATGTTAAGTAAAAAATGAATAAACAGCTATAACCAATATAATCCAAATTTTATAAAACAATAAAAATGGAAAGAGAAAAAATACAAAACTACTGGATTTATTTTATTTTTTTGGCTGCACCTCATGGCATGCAGGATCTTATTTCCCGATTGGGGATCGAAACTTTGCCTTCTGGCAGTGGAAGCACGGATGGCCAGGGAATTTCCAAAACTACTAGGTTTAAACAAAAGTATTTTAATGTTCTGTTAACATGGTCTTCCTTGGTAGCGCAGTTGGTAAAGAATCCACCTGCAAAGCAGGAAAACCCAGTTCAATTCCTGGGTCGGGGTGATCCCCTGGAGAAGGGATAGGCTACCCACTCCAGTATTCTTGCCTGGAGAATTCCACGGACAGGAGTCTGGTGGGCTACAGTCCATGGGGTCGCAAAGTGTAGGCCAGGACTGAGCGACTAAGCACAGCACAGCACATTTTAATATTAACAACAGTTATCACCTGATGGCAAGAAAAGAGGTTATACAAATTTTATTTTCTGTATTTTTCAAAACTTGTTTTACAGTGAGCTTTTTATAAAAGTGAAAACACAATTAAGAATGAATAGGTTTTTATAAAAATCTCTCCCCCAGCCTATGCATTTATATTCCCACTTCTTAGCATAATGGTTAATGTTTAAGTGAATTAACTAATGGAATTTACAATTAATTACTGTAAACTCATTTATCAAGTGTTTCATGTCAAACCCTCCAAATAAAGCTGTACTGAGTTTAAATTGTCTGAACAACTGCATTCCTTCCTTATTCTGAAATAATGCCATTTGTAGCAACATGGATAGAACTAGAGATTATCATAGCAAGTGAAGTAAATCAGAACCAGACAAATACCACATGATATCACTTATATGTGGAATCTAAAATATGACACAAATGAGAGAAACAGACCCACAGACACAGAGGTCGCCGAGGGGAGAGGGGATGGAGAACGGATGGACTGGGAGTTTGGGATTAACAGATGTGAATGCGCGTATGCTTATTCACTTCAGTTGTATCCAACACTTTGCGACCCTATTCTCTAGGTAATTTCTCTAGATAAGAATTCTGGAGTGGGTTGCCATGCCCTCCCCCAGGGATTGAACTCACATCTCTTATGTCTCCTGCATTGGCAGGCAGGTTCTTTACCACTAGCACCACCTGGGAAGCCCTGGGATTAGCAGATGAAAACTATTATATAAGGAGTGAATAAACAGCAAGGCCCTACTATATAACACAGCAAACTATATTCAATATCCTATGATAAACCATAACAGAAAAGAATATGAAAAAGAATGCACATATGTGTTTAACTGAATCACTTTGCTGCACTGCAGAAATTAATGCAATACTGTAAAACAACTATACTTCGATATTCTTTAAAAAAGAAAGCAATTATTTAAAAAAAAGATTATTATATTTACCTGAAGTTGGTGGAATCATTTATCCTGCATGGCCCTAACTCACCACATTTCAAAGTCCTATCCCCACCCCGCGCCCCGCCCTGCAAAAAAAATCTTTGACTTACTAGCTTAATAGACAGCAATTGTTTTCATAAACAAAAGACTGTTTTGTGAAACTATGTTTCCTACAGAGCCACTGAGAAAATCAACTGCCAATTTTGTCTTAAATCCCTATGGGTAGGGTTCCAGGCAGTAACTTACTGACTGCCATCCTCCTAAGAAGGCAACAGCACAGTAGAGAAAGGAACAGTAAGTTATTTTTAAATAGAAGTGGCTCACCCAGTGTCTCCCATTATGCATCCAGACCACGTGTCCTCACATTTACACTCACCTAAGAGAAAATGAATACATATACCTTGTTACAAAGTGAAAAATGTGCATTAGAGTAGTTACTATTTTTAAAAGTATATGTTCACTTTATTCCTTATGTACATTTACAGATCAGTAAAGGATCAGTCCCAGTCCTCTAATTTTCCTCACATCTGAAGTGTTTTATGCAATGCATAACAACAAAAATCTACTTTGACTCTATTGAGATTATATAATTTCTACTAAAATAAAGTCTTTTGAAAAATGTTAACAAGTGGCCATATTTTTAAAGCACTCAGTTAAAATGGCATAGCAATGAAATAGTGACACATGACCACAGGATTCTGGTTTCATAGGTTTTTATGGAAATTCCTATAATTTCTCATCCATTTTTAAAACCTCTGCACTCAAGTTTGCTGGTAGGAGGTAGTACAGTATATTGGTTAAGCAGACGAGTCTCAAAATCAGATACACCTGGGTTCAAAATCTGGGTATACCACTTAATATGTGTGTAATCTTGGAGAAACTACCCTTTTAAGATCCAGACACTTTATGGATCTTCATTATCAGCTGATAATGAATATCTTGCAGGATCATCTTGAGGATTAAATGAGCATCTAGATGTAGATAATTCTTGCATTCAACTATCTTTTACAGAGTGGGCACTTCATAAATGGTAATTTTTGATGTTGTTGTTTAGTTGCAAGTTGTGTCTGACTCTTTTGTGACCCCATGTACTGCAGCCCACCAGGCTCCTATGTCCATGGGATTTCCCAGGCAAGAATACTGGAGTGGGTTGCCATTTCCTTCTCCAGGGGATCTTCCAGACCCAGGGATCAAACCCATGTCTCCTGTATTGGCAGGCAGATTTATTTTAGCACTGAACCACAAGGGAAGCCCATAAATGGTAACAGTTGTAATTAATATAAACAATCATATTTATGGCATTTTTTGCTAAAATAATAAATATGATTATAGTCAACTTTTTCCAAATATATAGTGCTCGATCATTCCTGGTAAAGTAACTTTACCTACTGGGAATATATATTCATCATAGATGCTAAACCTAGCATATTTTATTAGGCCCATATTTTACTGAGCCCTTTATCAGATCTAATTCTGCAGGCAAATTCTACCTCTGTAGCAATACTAAGAGATATTTTAAATAAACGATAATAAAACATACACCTTAAACCTCTATGCCGAGACCACTCAAAATTACCAAACTGAACTTATGTCCTTTAAATTCATAGTTTAATTTAACATCACCTGGCTTTAATGTTTATTATACATGGAGGATTCAACCAGTCTATCCTAAAGATCAGTCCTGGGTGTTCATTGGAAGGACTGATGCTGAAGCTGAAAGTCCAACACTTTGGCCACCTCATGAGAAGAGTTGACTCATTGGAAAAGACCCTGATGCTGGGATGGATTGCAGGGAGGGGGAGAAGGGGATGACAAAGGATGAGATGGCTGGATGGCATCACCAACTCGATGGACATGAGTTTGGATAAACTCTGGGAGTTGGTGATGGACAGGAGGCCTGCTGTGTTGCGATTCATGGGGTCGCAAAGAGTCGGACACAACTGAGCAACTGAACTGAACTGATACATGGAGGAAATTTCTTGTGTGATGCAAATATTAACATTTGTATTACTTTGGGGAAAAAAACATTTTGTGCCCAGGCTATCTTTATACTATCACTAAAAATCTTTTGATTAAGCAACTAAGTTAAAGAATTTCATTCTGCAAAATATTTTACAGATAGTCTCTTTTAAATATAACTAAACCACACATGTACTTAAACTTACCACTTGCTAACTTTCTTTTGTCTGAGATAATACCAATATTATGGGCTAATGACTGGGCAAGTGTAACTGCCATTAAGTCCGTTTTCCCAAACTGAAAAACAAAAATAAAATACTTATAAGTGCAAATTATTTTTTATTTAAGATGAAGCAGGGAACATGTCACAATATAACTGAAAAAAACTTCTAAGCATTTTATTTAGCAGAGGTTAATACCTAATAGCTAGTGCTGAACTATGGAGCATTAAGCAAGAGGTAGTAAGAAATAATTCCTTGTTTGACTAAGTCTTATAGAGAAGAAACCAGAGAATCATCAACTTCCAGATTTGGAAACTTAAATCTAATTTTTGAGTCCAAATTTCACCAGTGACATTTCTGAAAAGCTTTATACTTGTATACAATTAAGCCAGTCATCCAGTTAATAGAAAATAAAAATAATTTATTTTGAACTTGCTCATCTTTATTTGTCCACTAGCACTTCTAAATTCCCCAAATTAAATAGAACTTGGCTTCAGAAAACAAACAATATGACTTAGAGGTGGTGGTGATGATGTTCAGTCAAAATAAACTTGAAAACATCTAGACATATTCCTTTTCAATGTGTAGCCTCTCAAAGACTCAGGTATTTTTCTGTTAGATCACTTCCATCAGGTTTAGTGCCCAAGGGACAGAAGTAACCCTTTGGAAAACCTCATCTATTTTTTTCCTCCAAAAATTTGCCAAGTATTGAGGAAGAAAATTTTCAACTGAGTTGTTAAGTCGTAATCCAACGTTTCAGGGAATTTCTCAATTCTCCGGAAAACCAGTCAAAGTGATAAATAGGGTCTTATTTTTCAAGAAAGGCAAAGATTTTCTCTATATAGTCAGCATATTGCTAAGCCTGGAAATTATTCTGAGTAGAATATGAACAGAATTATCCAATATTATCTTCCATTATTTTCCTATTCTGTCCTTGGGTCATTTGCAGTAATCAGGTTGGCTGTTAATAAAATAACAATATCTGGAGTATATAGAATACTGAGAAACTGTCCCTTAAATATCAGGAAAACATCGTCAGCCATCATACCACTTTGCATTGCACAGATGTTCACACCTACTTCATTCACGCCTCCTCCTTTCAGCAACGAGCAAATCCCACCAATATAAGCTGCCCCGCTCCGGCTACTCTCAAATTGACTTCCCCTTTTAGAAAAGGAAATGAAAAAGGCTTACTGCTTACAGCTCAAATGTCATAGCACCTCTCATTATTAATTTAACATGTTTATTTTCTCAATACACATACATTTCTATAGTATATATTCTGGAGGTAAGGGAAGACTATGAAAATTGTTCACACACATAACCAAAAGAAAAAGTTTCTGAGGAATGTTTCCTATTGTGATTAACAAATATCTTAAATAGAACTATACTTCTTGAAAAAGAATCTCTAACATGAGTTTTATGTATGTTGCATTTCTGTCAAAAAATGCATATAACTTGAATCTCACAATGAGAAAACATCAAGCATTCTCACAATGAGGAACATTCTATAAAATAACTTGTCTAAACTCTTCAAAAATGTTAACTTCAAAAGAGACAAAGAAAGGCTGAGGGAATATTACAGATTAAAGGAAACCAAAGAGACATGATGATTACATGTAATGTGTGATCCTGGACTGGATCTTAGATTTGGACAAGGGGAAGGAGTAGCAAGCTATAAAATAGAATTGAAACAATTGGTGAAATTTGAATTCAGACAGTGGGTTAGATAAAAACATTGTACTGAGGTTAAAGTTTCTGGTTTTGAGAGTTTACTGTGGTTATATAAGAGAATGGCTTTATTCTTAGGGAATATACACAAGTATTTAGTAGTAAAGGCCCAATAAGTAAATGTCTCCAACTTACTGTCAAATGGTTCAGGGGAAAACACACACACACACACTGATAGAGAGATGGATAGATGGAAGGAAGAAAGAAGGATAAAAAGAAGAAAATTATAAAACAAATGGAGTAAACTATGAACAATTGATGAATCTCGGTAAGGGGCATATGGAATTTCCTTGTAGTGTAGTATTCTTGCAACTTTTCTGTAAATTTGGAATTGTGTAAAATAAAAAGCTACCTCAAAACCACACTTTTGCTTCCATTTATAACTTTCTTCAACAGCTCTGGCTTTAGATGATTTTATATTAAATATACGTTACCCCCCAAGAACAAACCATAAGAGTAAGAAAAAGTAAAATATAAAAAATACCTAGAGATCCTAAGCTCTCCCTTAGACCAAAAACAAAGAGAAAATCAGCATTTAAAAGACAGCAATTTAAAGAATATAATTATTCTGTTGTTAAGAATATGAGAACTCCTTATGAGAATTAATGGTACTTTCACTCAGTAAATGCTCTGATTAGATCTCTTGAAAAATGAAATATACATGCAATAATGAAATAACTCAAAATTAAACCTATTGAATATTCGTGACAATTTCAAACAATCTGTGCTTTAAAACTTCTTGCAAATATATCTGCTACATCAAATCCTAATTGCATTATGCAGTACAAACAGTACATCTCATCACAAGTAATAAGAGTACTCAACGTGGAACAAAGAAAAGTAATAAATCATTATAAAAGTTACGTACGAAAAAAGGTGAACTGCATCACTTTTCTCTTTGATAAAATCCCTCCTGTATTTCATAAACTCACGTAGGGTGATGAGTGGATTTTCAGATATGGCAAACTTGTTGTCAGCCGCCCAGGTTTCCATGGCAACCAATACTATCCTTGTCTTAAGTTGGTCTTTATATATCTAGTATATTAACAAAATGAACACACCAGATATACACATGGAAAAAAAATCAAATGATTTATGAACAGGTCCACAAAGCTCCTTTTATGGAAAATCCTGCAGTTTTAGTGGAATGTGAGAAACCACTATTTTTAAGGGAGTTAATTGTTTTTCTAACTTATACATGTTTCCCGTGAGTAATAAGAATCCAACTGTTTACCAAGTAACACCCAAAGAAAAGAGTACTAACTAATTAGACATAAAATACCCCTTTTTGACAAATATTTGCACCATTTGTGTCCATTTTCTGGCACCCTGTAAGATTCAGGGTTTCTTGAGTTTCCCTAGTGAAAAAGGGAACACTCTCCGAGGAGATGATTTCTGTACACTCTGACTGGCCCTAATTAAACTCATGGGGAAGGACTGGCTTAGACTTCTCAGGGAAATTTGAAAAGTAGGTACAGTAGAATTACTTATTTGCATCATTCCCACAGCACCAGGCACTCTTTTGAAAAGGCACAGCTGTTTTTTCATTGCTAGAAATACACTGTGAATATCTTTGTTAAGGGCTAGGACTCAACCTTTTCTTTTCCAGTGTGAAAAATACAGGAAAAAAAAAATTCAGCCATAAAGGTGTGTCTCAGACCTCTTCCTTTTATCATCTTCCCAGTCAGAGATCAAATTCAAATAAAGTTCATGACAAAGTTACCACGGATTTACAGGACATCTTGGCTAAAGTGCAATTTAGGGCAGTGAAAATATAAGAGTATTATCCAATTTATTAGCAATCAGGAGATAAAATTCCTCTAAGGCAATTCTGGTTTGGGTTCATACTTACTAAATCTGCCATGTTCACCACAGATTTCGCGTACGTATTGGTAAGTACCACTGAAAGTCGATGCTTTTTAAACTGAAAGCAAAAGAAAACAAATGAAGGACTTCAAGGTCATCAACAAATGCTCATCTCAGCAAAGGAAACATGGTGTAACTAAAAGGCCTTTAAAGTTTTCTGTAAAAAAATTCAAGAGTTGACACCTAATTCTTTAGATGCTGCAAAATCTGTGGCAAGGTTCCTAAAGTTTGAGGCCCCACAGATCTTTGAGATAAAATTAAAAATGCCCACTGCATCCATTTCAAAAGTTTATTTTTTTGTCACAAGATTATTATTCAAAATGAGAACATATATGAAAGTTATCAATGAATTGCAAGACATACAAATAAAAGTAGGGTGAAAGGCAGAAGAAGTGAATGTGAATAATGCTGAAAATAAGAAAAGTTCCACAGATTTACTCAGTAAAGAGAAGAAAGCTCTAATGGTCACAAGGAGGTGACTTACGGCTTGATGTGAACTACATATATCTTTGGTTTGACCTCAAGGCTGTTTTAAAACTCAAGATATATTGTGTAAAATCTGGCTTCTGGCTTCATTTAAAATCAGTATCCACACATGGTAATAACTGGCAAGGGCTGAGAAGCAGTCACTCCTATTAGACAGACAGACCATGAGACTTCTCTTTTGCCTTAGACCTGACCCTTCCCTATTGTTTTATATCTGGCTCACTTCGAACTATCTGCCTATAGATACTTACAGACATTTGAATTTATGATACCCTAAACTGTTCAAAATATGTGTTTTTACAGCTTATTCTGTAAAAATCTCAGGAAAAATAGCATTCACAAAATTAAATTGGTAGAAATACAAAACTCAGTCCTACCATAAACAAATGAGAAGCACTCAATAATAATAATTATTATTAATTAATTAAAATCTCTATTATCTTAATCATATTTAAATAAATGACACATTTTCTCTCAAATAAATAATTCAAAGTAAATTAAAATATATATGTACCTGAAATTAAGTAAAATTCAACAAAATGCATCACTGAATATATTTAGTTTAAAACTCTGGCTACATGAAACAATTATAATTCACTGATGTGCAATGAATGTAACCAGGCTGATTATAATATGCCCATGAATTGAGTATAAAACATGCCCATAAACTGGGCATTAAAAAAAAAACTGACTCAATAAAAAGTTTGGCTAGGTTTTTATCCTAAAAATCTTCAAAGCTTGGCTATATAAGCTTTACTTTTTTAATTTTATATTGGAGAATATTTTGATTAACAATGTTGTGTTAGTTTCAGGTATACAACAAAGTGATTCAATTATACATATACATGTATATATTATTTTTCAAATTCTTTTCTAATTTAGGTTATTATAAAATATTGAGTTCCCTGTGCTGTACAGTAGGTCTTTGTTGGTTATATATTTTAAATACAGCAGTGTGCACAGGTCATTCCCAAACTCCCAGTCTATCCCACTTTCCATCTTTATCCTCTGGTAACCATGAACTTTTTCTCTAAGTCTGTAAGTCTGTTTCTGCTTTGTAAATAAGTCTATAAGCCTTTACAAATGGTTTACGGCACAGGAAAAGAAAAACAGAAAAAAATGCTTTTCTTTTATTAGAATAAAGCTAAACATTGCAAATTAAAGTATCACATTATTGCTGCTTCACTTTTTCAATTATAAAATGGAAGTTTCCCTTTTTTTTTAACCTTGCCATTTTAGTAAGAGAAGATATTAGCCCCTACATTAACTAAGCAAATCCAAGGAGTTAACATTATGAATCACAGAAATATTTTTGGAACTTCACAAAATACTGTGAATTGGTTTACCTAAGAGTGTTTTACAGGTTGTTGCTGGGTTACAGAAACGTTTGATTATACAAATACCTTCTCCAGGTTACAACTTTATAGGCTTCTTTCTTCTAAACATATTTTTGCACCCACCAGTTTTATGCTAGGCATGGGCAAGTTCAAACAACACAAAATTCAGCAAACCCTACCATGAGATGATCGTTCACAATCATCAGTTCAATATATTTGGTTTCCTCCTCTACATTACGAGGATATCGACGAAGCTGCAATATAATAAAGGAAACAGCACATAAACAAGCCCTGGTAACCTGGCTGTGGGAAACTTATGTTACACATTAGGTCCTCAGATATGACCCATCGTAGAACTGAAAGTCTGTACCCTTTTACCAATCTCTCCCTTTTCCCCCACTGCCTAGCCCCTGGCAAACATGTTTCTACTCTGTTTCCATGTGTTTTTATTTGTTTGTTTGTTTTGTGTTTAGATTCCACATGTAAGTGATACCATGCCATATTTGTCTATCTCTGCCTGGCTTATTTCACTCAGCTTAATGCCCTCCAGGTCCATCCACATTGTTGCAAATGGCCATATTTCCTTCTTTATTAAGGCCAAGTAATATTCAACTTTGTGTCTCAGGGACAAGAAAGACTTCTAAGTCAGAATCCTAGCTCCACTGCTAGGTAACCCAGGGTAACCATGGGCTCATTTCTTAAGTCTCTTATGTTTCAATGTCTTTAAAATAGAGATAATGATAATGCCTTCCTCAAAAAATTGTTATGAGGATTAAATACGTTAATACAATTGCCCATGGTGAGTACTCAAAATATTATTATTCATGTTAGAAATCTGTCTGTAAAACATTTTACTTCATACTTATTAAACATATATTAAAAAGAAAATACCTGGTCCCTTCAACTGCTTTGTCTTACTAAACACCTATTTCTCTCATCCTGTTTTTATGTCATACACAAACCTACACCAACTACCACCACAACTGTGATGATATCTTAATTCTGATGACCCGAGTTTTTATTTTGTATAAACCATTTACCAGATCTATGATTCTGGGCAAGGCATTTGCACATTTCCGAGACATCTATATTTTTACTGTGAAAGGATAATAATAGTACCCACTTCATGTGGCTTAAAGCATTGTACAGTAAACAATAAACTGCTATTATTATTATTATTGCTAAGTTCCATATGCATTGAACATGCATAAAGCAGACATTCTGATTTTATATCCTAGACTCCAAAGTAGTTCAAGTGTGACAATAGCATTTTGCAGCTTTAAAACTTGATGGAGTCATTCTTAAGGGGGTATTCTTAAGGGGATAAACATAAGGACTTGTACCATCCAAGCAGACTTTACGATGTGGTTGGTACATACTCAGGCAAGGAAAGAGGCCTATGGTAGAAACAACTTGAGATGCTGCAGCAGGGGACCCAGAACCCATCTGTATGATGGAATGTCCATGTTATCGCCACTGTCTTGAGTGTTTTTTGAGTCTATGAAATAATATGGCCCTAACTCCACTGCTTCTATGAATGTATCACCCTTGCTGTTTACCACACTGTGGAAAATGCCTGAACTAATTCCTACCTCTTACAGACTTAATGTAGATTAAATTGACTGGCAGTTGCCAAATGTTTTTAAAATATTGTGACATATACCTGTGAATACATACCTGCCGTTTACTCCTTTTTGGTCTTGGCTTCAAAATAAATTTTGGTGGAGTGATATTTACTTGTTGGAATTCTAAAAGGAAACAAATTTAACTTAGTGCATTTGCCAGGTTTCTTTCATGAAGGGCAATCAAACTTCTACCAGCCTTAATTGGTATAAATTATATAACTTTAATCAACAATGATTATTATAATTATAATCTATAAATTATATAATTATACATAATTATTATTAATTTTATAATATAAATATCACACTTAATGAAAATATAGAACATTAATTTAGGTAATTGCATTTATATTAATATAAATAAACATACCACAAAGGAACAAAATTCAAAAAAAAATCTCAAGCATTATTCCAGTTCTAATTTATCTCAAAATTTTTCTCATATTTCTCTTATAAATACCATCATATTTTTAATGGTAAATCATCTAAATAGCCACTTGACCTTCCCTTCCACCACTAATCTTCACTAAAGAATTGACACACCAAAGGTTGGTGAAGATGTGGAACAATTAGAACTCTCATGTAATGCTGAGAGTATACAATGGTGTCACCACTTCAGGAAAAGGTTCAGAGATTTTTCATTCAACAGTAGTTCTTAAATGGTGTTCCTTGGACTAGGGACATTAGCATTACCTGAGAACCTGGAAAAGTAAATTCTCATAACCCACCCAAGATATTCTTAATCAAAAGCTCTAGAAATTTGTGCAGCCACTATGAAAAGCATTATGAATATTTCTCAAAATATATAAATAGAAATACCATATGATTGTAATAATCCTACTTCTAGGCATATAGCCTAAGGAATTTAAATCAGGGTCTCAAAGAAGTGTCTGCACTCCCATGTTCATTGCAACATTATTGACAGCAGTCAAGATACAGAAGCAACCTAAATGTCCATCAGTGGATGAATGGATAAAGAATATACGGTATATACACACAATGGAATATTAATCAGTCTTATAAAAGAAAATCCTGCCATTTGCAACAACACAGGTGAACCTAGAGGACATTCTGTTAAGTGAAATAAGCCAGACAAAGAAGGACAAATACTACATTATACCATTTACATGACGAATCTAAAATAGTCAAACTCAGAGAAACAGTGATTAGAATGGTGGCTGTCAGGGGCTGGGAGGAGGGAATATGAGGAGTCACTAGTCAAAGGGGACAAAGATTTAGTTACACAAGATGAATAAGTCTTAGAGAGCTACTGTAGAGTTTAGTGCCTACAGTTAACGATACTGTGTCGTATACCTAAAAATTTGCTAACAGGTTAAATTTTATGTTAATAGTTTTTATCACCATCACCATAAATAGTATAGGAGGAAACTTTTGGAGTGGATGAATATGTTTATGGCATAGGTTGTGGTGATTTCATGGATGTATATTTAACTCCAAACTCATCAAGTTTTATACACTAAATATATACAGCCTTTTGTATTTCAATTATACCTCAATAAAGTGGCTGAAAAAAATAGCCTGAAGATGAGGCCACCAATCTGTGTTTACCAAGCCCTCCAGGTGATTCTGGTACATGCTGAAGCTTGAGAACAATATTATGCAGTTAAAGATATACTACCTTGTGACCCAGTTATTAAACTCCCAGGTATTTGATAGAGAAATGTAAATGTGTGTCCCCAAAAAAGATTTTTACAAGAATATTCGTAGTTGTTATATTCATAATAGCCCCAAACTAGAAGCAATCCAAATGTCCATCGACAGAAGAGATGAAAAACTGTGCTATCTGCAAACAGTAAGAACATACTCAATAATTAAAATAGAGAACTATCTCTGCCTTTGACAACATGGATCTCAGGCATGTTGCTAATAAGCAAAAGAAGCCAAATATGATGAATGAGTCCATTTGTATGAACAGGTGAAACTAATCTACAGTGAAAAAAGTCAGAAAAGGGACTGCAGAAGTGGGAGAAACTGACAGAAAAGGGACACAAAGGAAATTACTGGGGTAATGGAAATACTCTACTTTTCATCAGGGGAGGACAAGAGTGTCAGAACTCGGCAAATAGTACACAAAATTGGTATATTTCATCATAGTAATTTTTTATTGCAGTATAACTAACATACAATATCATACTATTTTCAGGTGTACAAAATAGTGATTAAATATTTATATACATTTTAAAATGGTTACCACTGTAAGCCCAGTTATCATCTGTATCTGTACAAAGTTATCACAATATTATTGACTATGTTCCCTATGCTTTACATTACATTCCCATGATTTCTTTACTTTATAACTGGAAGTTTGTATCTCTAAACCTCCTTTTCCTCTTTTGGCTGGCCCCCATATGCTCTGGCCACCACCCCCTTGTTCTCTATGTTTATGGTCTATTTCTGTTTTGTTTGCTTTTGTTGGTTGGTTGGTTGGTTTTTCATCTATTAATTTTTAAACAGTGAGTGCTAAGTGGTCATATTTAAACAAAAAAGCTTTTCTTAAAATGTGTTCTTAGGAAAAGAAAACTAGTCTTGAGAGATGTGTCATGTAAAATAAAACATTCCATAATCAAACAAGATTGGGGAACACCTGATCATATTCTATCTCTGGGATATACATAATGCATAGCAAAAGAGACATAACATAACCCACAACCCAGTGACACTTTATTAAACCTAAACTTTAAAAAAGCTTAGTTTTCAGCTTATATAACAAAAAATTGCAGCTTTGACACTTGTTTATTTTTTGTTTCCTTCCAATTTGTCATAGTAAGTCTAAAGAGCTTGAGGCAAATAATACTCTTAAAATGAATACTGTCAACTTCTGATACTAAAAGATAACCAGGAATAAACTGGGGTTTTTCGAAGAAAATGGTCAAAACTCATTTTTCATAGCAGAAAAACTACTGAGTCAACTCCAAAGTTTCTGTTGTAAAGAAATTCTGAATGAAGTTTCTTAAAAACTATTATAAGATTGTATCATGGCAAGCCTATAATAAAGTCCTTAGTGGGGAACCTTTCTTGATTACTTTAAATATTAAATAATGTTTACTGCTATCAGTAATGCCTATTGGATTGCAACTTTGTTCTCAAGCAGCTAATCATGATTTATTTTCTTACCATAACAGGGATTGTAAAAAGTTTCATATGATAACGAAAGAACAGTATAAAGCATCTATGTGAAGTAAAAGTATCTATTGTGCATTTGCAGATTTTTCCAAATAGCAAATTCTATAAAGTAGGAACTTAGATCCCTTTGGCAGCAGGAGAGAAGGGGTGAGTTCTGTTTCTATTTAGGGTGACTGCAAAAGGTCCAGGAGTTACAAATTTATTTCAGAGGAAGGAACATTTGAAAACACTTATTTCATTTTCTAATGAGGAGACAATGCAGCCTTTAAGTCATTTTCCTAAGCAGGAGTTTAGACTTTGCTTTAGTAAGTTTTCCATTTGCCCTGGTGCCTGTCTCCCAAGGCACATTCTCATAGTGCCATAATCCAAACACCCACTCAGCCTCTTACTAGCTGTGGAACTCTAGAAAAGACAAACTAGCTGAGCTTCTGTTTGTTCATCTATAAAATGGGAATAATAATATTGACCTCACGGAGTTGTTTCAAAGACTAAAAAATGTTTAAAAATTAGGCTCTACTATGGCCATAATCAGGGCTGGCTAAGTAGGGGAGGAAGCATCTCCACATCAGCTATACCCTATCTTTAGAAGGAGAACACGAAAATGAGTCCAGTGTAGACAGAGACAAATGCACTCTGCATAATCATTTCTCCTCTAACAAGGTCAAAGCATGAATACCCTGCCCTTCTCACCAAAAGACACGGATGCAACTCTCAAATCAAACCTATAAATAGATGGACCCATAAACATACATTGGAAGGAAAAATCAATTTCACAAATAGCACATCACCATAATAATAAATATTAATCTACAATGGTTCTTTCTTAAAATGCTTTTCTTCAAAAAGAAATGAGGAAATAAATAATAAATGGGAAAATATTTACAAGTTCATCTCCATGTGTACAAACTGAGTATTTCATCAAGAGTGAATTTTATATATTCTACCTATGCAGACCAATTTTTGCTTTAACAAAGTAGAGGAATATTTTACTTTGAGCCTTATAATTTTAATAAGCTCTTCTCTGTTGAGTTCAAGCAATATCTTTCCAAACTCACCCACTATAAACATGAGGTCAGTTTGCATTTTTTTCTCTCTCTTGATGTCACTTGACTTTCTAAAACTGTTATGAGCAGTCGTAGGCTGATGATATTCCACATATAATTAGTTCTAAAGAATTAAAATGCATTATTAAATCTGTCTTTTTTTTAAAAATCACTATATGAAAATCATACCAGATGGAAGATCATCCAAGGGAAATTCAAACAGTCTGGATTTGTAAACCGAATGAAAATGGAAATCCTCCTGAAATAACACAAACGAGAGATGAGGCACATACAACCAGAAATCTCCAGGCTCAGGGGATCACAGCTGGGGGAGGTGAAACCTTAAAAGAACCATTGCTTGACTGCACATTCTCTCAAGTTTGGGAAGGCGATGAGCCCTTGCACATCCCTCCCATTCACTCCTATATTATCCCAGCGCCACAGTGATAGCCCATTAGAAGCAAAATGCCTTCACGGATGGAGAAGCCAAAGCCTGTGGTAATGGAAAAGAAATGAATGCACCTGTTCCCCCAAGGAGAAGTAAGACACTTGGGGAAAGGGGTTAATGTTTTCTATGACTGGTTCCTTTCCATGAAGCCCTGCTTCCTGTTAGAGCCTGACAGCTTTGCCAGGCAGATAGAAGAGCTAACAGTCTTCCTGTTGGGAAGCAGAGTAACTGGCACAATCAGAATGCCCACAGCAGGCCCTGCCTCAAAATTCAAGTGTCATACAAACATCTGTAAAAATCCAACAGACAAAAAACCATGTTTCATCTAAGAAAAATTAATGAACATTCAAATAACTTCATCTGGCTTCCTTCAATTACTAAAAAAGGAAGGTCATAAATAGTCAAGTTTCATGATATCACTTTTTTAAAAAATCACACTGTCAAGCAAAGGGACAGGACAGCTTTCAGTGGGTACTTGGAAAGTAACACAAAACAGAGAATTTCCCATACAAGAGTGTTTATGAGCGGCAGAACAATCAGCGTTTCTTGACATTATTTGCCTCTTCAAGTGCTTGATTGGTGTTCCATGATATGTGGAAGAATATTTGTGTGTACAGAGCTAGGATGGAATGCATCATGTTTCTCTGTAGTCAGTAAGAGCAACCATATTCTAATTTGTGAGAAAGTGAATGTTTAAACTAAACTGAGGAAGAGAACTGAGAAAACCTGGATTTCTCTAAATTTCATCAGCATGGGGCCTTAAAGAAAATAGGCAATAGAGAAAACTCTGGAATCTAGAAAAGAAAAAGAGTGGGAAATCACATTATCTGTGGATTTGATCCATCATGAAATGTCTATGTCCCTTCCAAACTCATGTTTTAAGTCCTAAATTCCTAATGTGATTGTATTTGGAGATAGGGTCAGAGGGATGCGATAAAGGTTAACAGAGATCACAAGAGTGAGGTCCTAGTCTGATAAGGCTGCTGCCCTGACGAGAAGAGGAGGAGACCCCAGACCTCACAGAACACCGTCTGCACCCCAAGGAGAGAGCCCTCAACAGACACTGACCCCACCGGCACCATGAAATTGGATTTTCAGCCCCGAGACTGTGAGAAAACAAATTCATGTTGTTTAAGCCCTCTAGACTGACAGACCACAGCACATCACGGTGGAGTCAGTAATGAAGGTTTCAGAATACCTCAGAAGGAACGTATTTCCAGCAGATGTGGAAGAGTAAGGGGTAGATTTCTTTTAAAAAAAGAGCACTGCGGTTTTGTCTTGCTGCTGTCCAACTCTTTGCGACCCCATGGACTGCAGCATACCAGGCCTCCCTGTCCTTCACTGTCTTCAGTATTCATCATTTGAGCATACTCCAGGAGATAGTAAAGGACAGGGAAGCCTGGTGTGCTGCAGTTCATGGGCCCCAAAGAGTCAGACCTGACTTAGCAACCGAACAGCAACAGGGCAAAACCACAGTGACCTTTAAAAAAAATCTACCTCTTACTTTTCCCCTCTGCTGGAAATACTTTTCTTCTGAGGTGTTCTGAAGCCTTCATTACTATCTCCACCATAATGTGCTGTGGTCTGTCTTAGTCTGGGTGGCTTAAACAAGATAAATTTATTTTCTCACAGTCTGGGGTTTTCCCTTATTCACTATTTAAAATATATATATATATATATAATATGTCTATGTCTATACATATATTCTTGACCCTGAAATATAAAAAGAAAGCAAAATAGAAAAAAGAAAAGAAAAAGAGGGGGAAAGAAATCCCACAGCATTGTTAACATTTGCCATGGCAAAGAGAAAGAGCACTTACTTGGGAGGTGTCATTTCCTTCCGGCTCAATGAGATAGGTGTGGTTCCCATCATAAAACATCCCACTGCCAAGGATAAGAAAACAGTTAGGCCTGGCAATTGACTCTTGCCTCAGAACCAGATCATTTTAAAGTCAGCAGCAGCCAGAGGACCAGTTTATTTCTCAAACCCTACTTTTCAGTCCTACCTATCACAGGCAGTGCCCACCACATACCACACACACATGCACCCCACATAACACACACACACCCCACACGTATGTATACACCCCCACATCATACACTCACACCACCACATACCACACACTCACAAGACACACACACCACCCACCCATACATATACACCCCCACATCATACACTCACACCACCACATACCACACTCACACACCCCTATATACCATACATCACACACTACATCTCCACATATATAAACACCACATACCACACTCACATATGCCACACAACACACATATCCCAATCCATATATCTTATACATACACATGCCATACATTACACACACACCCACACACACTGCTGAGAAGGAAAGGCCTCGCCCCTGACTCCCCGTAAGCAGCAGGGTCCCCCTCATCCTGACTCTTCCCCAGGCTCAGGACTGCTGCTGCTCCTGTTGTTGTTTAGTTGTTTCAGTTGTGTCTGACTCTGGGGCTCAGGATTAGCATCCTCAAAATGTGGCCCATTATTCCTTCCTCCAACATATAAATCTAAACTTTAATACACAAAATATCCCCTGGAAAGCATATAAAAATTCAAAACTCTCAGGATCCTCTCAGACTTCCAGGCTAGAACCCAGGAAACTGCATTTTAAACAAACCCCCAGTGGTTCTGAGGCAGTTGGCCAGGGGTTATACAGAGACTGGCCTAAGCTGTATACTCGGAAGATGTTCTAGCAGGAAGAGCTGACATATCTTAACAACTCACCATGAGCTAAATCCTTTACGTTCATTTCATCTTTTCCACAAATTTATGCTGGAGGTACAATGACTACCCACATTTCACAAGTTACAGAAACTGAAGAGACAAGAAACCAAGAGACAAGTGTCTGACAAGTAGCTGACCCAGGCAAGGCAACTGGCCACACACCTTCATTCATACAACAGGGTGGTAATGGTGAGGGTGGTGAGAACCAGTCAAATTCTGAATATTTTTCCAAAGTAGAATCAGTGGATTTAAAATGGAATTTGCAAGGAAGAGAAGAGTCAGTGAAGACTCCAAGGTTTTGACATGAGCAACTGGGAAAATAGTGTTTCATAAGATCTGTTTAATAAGATGGAAAAGGCTGCAGGAAGAGCAAAATAGGATGGGCACAAGGAAGCAAGATGCAGGATGCAGGGTGCAAATCCAGAGTTCAATTTTGGACCTCCTTGGCTAGAGATGACTAACAGCCAATTGAGAGATTCTCTGGGGGCATCCTAAGCTACACATGGTCTCAACTCCCACTCAGAGAGATCCTGATAGCCCCTCCTTTTAGAGGAATGTGGTCTTTCTATTAACATCAGTTTCCTCCTGATACTGAAGGAACTTGTCTTTACCACTCAGGCATCTGAGAAGAGTAAAGTTGTGATCTTCCGCAGTCATTTATCAGTGTTAGGTGGAAGTGACTGCATGAAGCCCAAGTTGCTAACCACAGAACAGTATGTGTCTTTTATTGATCACTTAGTGAAATCTGCTGGTTTTCCTGAGCTATAATTATAACAGCCTCCAGCTCTATCTCTATCCAAATCCTTTTGTGCTGCAGTAACATCTTCCACATGTCCTCAACTTTCATATAGAACTTAGAACTGCCCTTTACACATCTGTAATGTTTTCGACCCAAAGTGCACTTTCTGAATTTGAGTGACACTGCATTTGAAATTTAAAGATAAACAGATGCAGTTTGTAGGATATTACTGACAATATATACCTAAGGAATCAGTGAAGGAAAACTTTTCAAAACAGTAGACAAATATGGTAGTGAACATTCTGCTGATAACTGGTCAGATCCATCCAGAAAACTGTACAAAACGATCACCCTTTGCCAAAGTTCACACGACTACACTGATTAAATAGCAAGCAGATGGTTTTGTTTAAACAGTATCAGGGGCTGTTTCCTCTTGAGTTAGTTTAGTATCCAATGCAAAAATCAGTCACTTTTTATTGAACTCAAACATCTTGATACACAGTATAAACAAAGCAGATTCTAACACCATACATATATAGAAGATTCTGGTTCCATAAATGAAAATATGCCATGTTTAATTAAAAATATGTTCAAATCTTTAACAATTAAAAAGCAGGTATGTCTCATTTGCTTTCTTTGAGGATTGAAACCTTTCCGGTAGATTTTTTATAAAGTCCAGAAGTATACTAAGTCCATCACACAGTTTATAACTTGCAAAAATCTATAGCTAGGACCAAGTCATTACTGGCCAGTTGAGAGAGGTAAAATTTTTTAAAGTTGCCATCAAAACAAGACTATGAAAGGAAACAGTCATTCTTACAAACTGCCACAAGTGGGCAATAAATTTACAGTTGATTCCATTCCTTAATGTTCCCATAGTTACAGGATTTTGTCAAAACATCAAACATAGCAGGACCAAAATACTGACTATTAGGTCTTCAAATTTGAAAATAATATGTACCTGCAGGATCTTTATGGAAAAGATATGAGTTTGATTATTTTACCCATTATGTTCTTTAATGGAATTCTGTAAATCAAGAAAATGAAAGCTCGCAGCATGCATTTGGCAATTTATAGAAGATGAGTCATAGATGAAATAATATCTCATATTGAATCACTACAAATGAGACAACATAAATTATTTACTATTTAGAAATAGCTCCCCTAAATATTTCTGTCAGCAATGTTTGTTCACAAGGTAAAATCAAGATGAGAAGTAATAAAGGAACAAACAGTGAATTTATTTAACATGCTTATAAATGTCTACATACACCAAAACACACTTATGCACAAACCTGACAATGTTCCTACACACAGTGGGCTTTCTGTTTGTTTTTGTTTAGTCTTAAGTGAAAAATGTTCTAAAGGGAGAAGTAAATTTTACTTAGATAAAACACCTCAGTTAGTCACTAAAATGTCCTTCAAGTTTCCTTTCCATCTTCTTTCAAAGGACTGCATAGGATCAGTAGCTGTTGGTCTGAGGGTCTCAGGTCTATTAGGGTTTCTAGAAGGCGGTAATACATTTTCTCTGCTCTTATGATGTTATATCCACTTGGAAAATGGTGGGGGGTTACTGGAACATGTATTGGGCAAGATGCTTAAACTGTGACTTTGGACTGAGATGTTAAGAGGAAGAGAGAGGAAGGGAAAAGCCTACAATAGACACTTGCTGTCACAAGAGTCGGCAGACGCAGTGTACTATTTCTGGCTGACAGCTGTGCTTGCCTTGAGATCAGAGATAACAATATTATTGCTAGAGGATACATCAGTGTTTGTTTCCAGATTAAGAAACCGAGGCTCTCACATGTTAGGTACGGGTTCCATGTTTGTAAAAATGTCTCCTTATTCAGAGGATTTATTTAAAACTAGTAAAATAGCCTTTTTGAACAAATAGTAAGCGAACTTACTGTCTTGCTCTCAGGCATGTGAGCTCCTTTCTCTGGTTATTTGTCTGATCCCTGTATTATCTTCTTCCTGCGTCTCAAGTACCTAGTGCCAGAGCCTAAGCAGAAGCACAACTTGGGCAGACTGGCCAGATTCCCCAACCATTCCCATTAGGTCTCTTTTCCCAATTTCTTGGAAGCCATGACAGCTGAACCCTCTCCTGGAAGATCCCTTGAAAGCCTGTTCCAGGGCCCATTCCATCTTCTTCAGGTAATGACTCTCTTTTCAGTGACCACTCTCAGCTTGCATTTTTCTCAGTTTTTTCTTTTTTTTCTCTCATTGAAAACAAATGCGCCTACCACATTCCATAGCACGAAGCTGGGCTAGGTTTAGCTTTCCCATTAGACTGGGAGCTCTTGGGGACAGCGCTCACGTTCTGATCTCCTTAATATTCCAAGCAGCTGGCACACAGCAGATGCTCCATAACTGTTTGTTAGATGAAAACACCCATGTTTCTAACTTGGTAACAGACAGGAAGTCTTTTCATGATTTCAAACAAGAATTTCACAAAACTGAAGTGTGATTGGTTCCTGCCCCCAAAAAAGTAGCAAAAAAGAGCTGAGATGATTTAGACTAACTAGAATGCTGAACTCAGATCATGAGCTCCTTATTGCAAAATTCAGGCTTACAATAAAGGAAGTAGGAGAAACCACTAGGCAACTCATGTATGACCAAAATCAAATCCTTTATGATTATACAGCAGAAGTGACAAAGAGATCAAGGGATTATATCTGGGTGACAGAGTCCCTGAAGAACTATGGACAAAAGTTTGAAATATTGTACAGGAGGCAGAAACCAAAACCATTCCAAAGAAAAAGGAATGAAAGAAGGCAAAGTGGCTGTCGAAGAAGGCTTTAGAAATAGCTGAGAAAAAAAGTGAAAGAGAAGGTAGAAAGGGAAAGACATACCCATCTGAGTGCAGAGTTTCAGAGAATAGCAAAGAGAGATAGGAAGGCCTTCTTAAATAAACAGTGCAAAGAAATAGAGGAAAACAATACAATGGGAAAGACTAGAGGTATCTTCAAGAAAATTGGAGATGTGAAGGGAATATTTCATGCAAGGATGGGCATGATAAAAGGCAGAAACAGTAAGGACTTAACAGAAGTAGAAGATATTAAGAAGAGGTGGCAACAATACATAGAACTGTGCAAAACAGGTCTCAATGAGCTGGATCACCATGATCGTGTGATCACTTACCTAGAGCCAGACATCCTGGAGTGTGAAGTCAAGTGGGCGTTAGGAAGCATTACTATGAACAAAGTGAGCAGAGGGACAGAATTCCAGATGAGCTCTTTCAAATCCTCAAAGATCATGCTATTAAAGTGCTAGACTCAGTATGTCAGCAAATTTGGGGAAATCTGCACTGGAAAAGGTCAGTTTTCATTTCAATCCCCAAGAAGGACAATGCCAAGGAATGCCCAAACTACCATACAGTTGTGCTCATTTCACATACTGTCAAGGTTATGCTCAAAATCCCTCAAGCTAAACTTCAGCAGTGCGTGAATCAAGACCTACCAGATGTACAAGATGGGTTTCAAAGAAGCAGAGGAATCAGAGATCAAATTGTCAACACTGGTTAGATCACAGAAAAAGCAAGAGAATTCCAGAAATACATCTACTTCTGCTTCATTGACTACACTAAAGCCTTTGACTGTGTGGATCACAACAATCTGGGGAAATTTTTTAAAAAGATGAGAGTACCAGACCACCTTGCCTGTCTCCTGAGAAATCTGTATGTGGGTTGAGAAGCAACAGTTAGAACCTGACATGGAACAACAGACTGGTTCAAAACTGGGAAAGAAGTATGTTAAGGCTGTTAGCTTCCCAATTGACCCAGTGGTAAAGAATCCGCTTGCAGTGCAGGAGATGGAGGCAGACATGAGTTCATTCCTGAGTTGGGGAGATCCCCTGGAGGAGGGTGTGGCAATCCACTCCAGTATTCTTGCCTGGAGAATCCTATGGAGAGAGAAGCCTGGTGGGCTACAGTCCATAGGGTCGCAAAGAGCAAGACACGAGTACAGAAATGGAACACGAACACATGCATGCACACACGTTAAGGCTGTATACTGCCATTCTTCTTATTTAACTTACATGAGGGTTCAGTACAGTTCAGTCACTCAGTTATGTCCAATTCTTTGTGAACTCATGGACTGCAGCACCAGGCTTCCCATCACCAACTCCTGGAGCTTGCTCAAACTCATGTCCATCAAGTCGGTGATGTCATCCAACCATCTCATCCTCTGTCATCCCCTTCTTCTCCTGCCTTCAATCTGTCCCAGCATCAGGGTCTTTTCCAATGAGTCAGCTCTTCGTATCAGGTGGCCAAAGTATTGGAGTTTCAGCTTCAACATCAGTCCTTTTAATGAATATTCAGGACTGATTTCCTTTAGGATGGACTGATTGGACCTCCTTGCAGTCCAAGGGACTCTCAAGAGTCTTCTCCAATACTACAGTTCAAAAGCATCAATTCTTCAGTGCTCAGCTTTCTTTATAGTCCAACTCTCACATCCATACATGACTACTGGAAAAACCATAGCTTTGACTAGACGAACCTTTGTCAGCAAAGTAATGTCTCTGCTTTTTAATATCCTGTCTAGGTTTGTCATAGCTTTCTTCCAAGGAGCAAGAGTCTTTAAATTTCATGGCTGCACACACCATCTGTAGTGACTTTGGAGCTCAAAAAATAAAGTCTGTCACTGTTTCCATTGTTTCCCCATCTATTTGCCATGAAGAGATGGGACCGAATGCCATGATCTTCATTTTTTGAATGTTGAGTTTTAAGCCAGCTTTTTCACTCTCCTCTTTCACTCTCATCAAAAGGCTCTCTAGTTCTTCCTCGCTTTCTGCCATAAGGGTGGTGTCATCTGCATATCTGAGGTTATTGATATTTCTCCTGGCAATCTTGATTCCAGCTTGTGCTTTATCCAGCCCAGGATTTTGCACGATGTCCTCTGCATATAAGTTAAATAAGCAGGGTGACAATATACAGCCTTGATGTACTCCTTTCCCAATTTGGAACCAGTCTGTTCTTCCATGCCCAGTTCTAACTGTTGCTTCCTGACCTGCATACAGATTTCTCAGGATGCAAGTAAGGTGGTCCGTTATTCCCAGACACCTGGGAGAATTTTCCAGTTTGTTGTGATCAAGATTTCCAGGAGAAATATCAACAATCTCAGATACGCAAGTGATACCACTCTAATGTTATCATTAAGATTAAGTGAAGGGGACCTAAAGAGCCTCTTGATGAGAGTGAAAAGGAGAGAGAAGAAGCTGGCTTAAAACTCAATATTCAAAGAACAAAGATCATGGCATCTGGTCCCATCACTTCATAGCAAATAGAGGAGTAAAAAGTATAAACAGTGACAGAGTTTATTTTCTTGGGCTTCAAAATTACTATGGACAATCACCATGCTTGCTTCTTGGAAGGAAAGCTATGACAAATCTAGACAGAGGATTAAAAAGCAGAGTCATCACTTTGCCAACAAAAGTCTGTATAATCAAAGCTATGGTTTTTCCAGCAAGATGTATGGATAAGAGATTTGGACCATGAAGAACTGAAGAATTTATGCTTTCAATTTGTAGTGCTGGAGAAGACTCTTCAGAGTCCCTTGGACAGCAAGGAGATCAAACCAGTCAATCCTAAAAGAAATCTACCCTGAATACTCATTGGAAGGACTGATGCTGAAGCTGAAGTTCCAATACTTTGGCTGCCAAATGCAAAAAGTGGACTCACTGGAGAAGACTGTGATGCCGGGAAAGACTGAAGGCAAAAGGAGTAGGGAGAGGCTGAAGATGAGATGGTTAGATAGCATCACTGACTCAGTGGATGTGGATTGGAGCAAACTCAGGAGAGAATGGAGGACAGAGGAGCCTGGTGTGATGTGGTCCATGGAATCGCAAAGAGTCAGACATGATTTAATGAAAGAACAACAACAAAATGCTGAGTGATGACAAAGTAGCTTTATAAGGGGTTACAAGACAAGAAAGAGATAGACAGGCACCTGCTATCACCATCATGGACAGGATGGAGGAAGCTGATATATTCCCATGTTAAGCACCAGCAAACGCACTTTGATAGTGAAAGTTATGAGAAAGGAGGTAAGACCCTGAGGAAGGATGAAGTCCATTCCATAGAAATTTCTGAGAACAAATGGACCCTCCCATGAGTTAGCTGTAGGTCAGGTGGGATTCTGGTGAATAAAGGGCTAAAATACATGAGCTCCTGTGCTCACCCATTGTTTTTGTACAAGGAGTCAGGAGTTCCCTGTCTTGAAATTTCTATTATTCCATACATATATAAAAATGAACATCAAGGAAGAGGAAGGATAGAATTGGTAACAAGGGGCTAAACACCCACGGAAACAGAAACCAAAGTTACGCAAACTACTCCTATTTCCATCTGGATGAAACTAGAAAAATGTTTCAAACATCACTAAGGAAGCATATTATAATCATTAGCACCTCTGGCTTCTGCAACTCTAACTTAACAATCTGCTTGGTTTACAAACCACAGAGGAAAAAAAGCCCTGATCCATCACTGTTTTAAAACTATTAATAGCTCTTGACATAAAATAAAGATTTCAACCACAGTGCATTAAAAATAAAGTAAATCACTGGGAAAAAATGGATGATGCAAAAACTTTGGGGACACTTACTGAAGTCCATGGCATGTCGACAATGCCACAAATGAGGCAGGATTTCCTCGGATGTGGCCCTGGTAGTAACAGTGTTCTCCCCCCTGAAAGCAGAAAGAGAGAACATAAACCTTTGCCATCACAAAGAGAATCAGCCACGCCATTTCACAGTCTTCTGCCCACACCGCACCTTCATGTACACAGCTCTGTACAAAGTTTCATTATCCAGATTAGTATCATCAGACCATTTCTAACAGAATTATTCATAAGCACTCCCAGTGAGCTGACTCCAAATCAAAAGATAAGGAAATAAAAGTTGACTTAAGTTTCCTTTTATGTAGGTGATGATAGATGGAACAAAGAAACACATATTGAAATGCATATGTGACCCCCAGCACCAGGAAAAGTTCAGTGAGCTATTTCCCTAGTTGAGTTCCCCTAAGGAACTCAACCTTGCATGCATGCATGTTAAGTCACTTCAATCATGTACTACGACTCTTTGCAACCTTATGGATTTGTAGCCCACCAGGCTCCTCTGTCCATGGGATTCTCCAGGCAAGAACACTGGAGTGGGTTGCCATGCCCTCCTCCAGGGGATCTTCCAGACCCAGGGATTGAACCCATGTCTCTTATGTTTCTTGCATCGAGAGGCAGGTTCCTTACTGCTGGCGCCACCTGGAAAGCTCACTCAACATTAAGTAACAGAAAATGACGATTTTCTCAAAATTAAGCAAAATGAATACAAATCATCTGAGAGTTACTAAATTAAATTAATGGAGGAAAATGCCTTCTTTCATAGTGTGTATATCAAAGCTTAACAACTTTATGATATTCTTTTCTCCAACCAGGAATGGCTTTACTGGTAGGCAGTCCAGAGCAGGGTCTAAAATTGAGAATTTTCTTCTACCAGCAAGTCACATTAACTAAATTTCACCAAGAGACTCATTTCTTTGGATTAAATATTCCTGGAAATGTTAGCAGGGTGGAGCCTCTGACATCTCAAGGTGGCACCCTAGTCTTTAGATGCTGGCTACTCAAGAGTGTGGTCTAGAAAACAGCAGCAGCACTAGCATCAACAGAAGCATGTCGGAAATGCAGAATCCCAGGCCCCATCCCAATGGGTCAGAATCGGCATTTTTAACAAAGTGCACAATAGTAAAGAATCCACCTGCCAATGCAGGAGATGCAAGAGACTTGGGTTCAATCCCCGGATCAGGAAGATCCCCTGGAGAAGGAAATGGCAACCCACTCCAGTATTCTTGCCTGGAGAATCCCATGGACAGAGGAGCCTGGTGGGCTACAGTCCATGGGGTCGCAAAGAGTCGGACACGACGAGTGACTGAGGACACAGTGGAGCACGAGGTGATTCACACGCACAGTAAAGTTTGAGAAGCACAGGTCTAAACGATCTTTCTCATTGCCCCACTAATTTCTCATTTCCTCCGAAGCTGAAAGCTTCTAGTTCAACTGGCTCACTGAGGTGTGAAATAGTGACAGAAGGACTAAAAGAATGGGTGGTTTAAAGGGGCAAATGTTATCTATTTCACAATCTGTCTTAAGGACTAACCCTACTTAAAATACACAATGCTTTACAAGTGCAGAGGTGAGAACAGGAAGACATAGTAATGGAACAAAGGTGAAGATAGTATCTTCACTGGAATTCTGGGGAAGGTGGCCTGTTTCTCCTCATGAGATAATCCCAAGAACCGGGTGAAGTTCAGCTTTGCTGAGGGACAAAGAGCAGGCAGGAAGGCACACAGTGCAAGCCCTGACACCTCCAAATTCCCATGGAGTCACTGAACATCATGAACTGAAGACTGGGGTTGGACTGGATGGAGGATAAGATAGGGAAGTACTTCAGGTGTGGTTCTGACAGCAGATGGAACCCAGGAGGCCATAGACTTATGGGCAGAAACAAAGTCAGGCCGTGACTTCCAGGGAAGGAGATGTTAACACTTCGAGCTATCAACTCCTTCACTTACTAGTCATACAATCTCATGCAAATCACAGAGCCTCCCTGTGTAATAATCACATAAGGGTGTTCACAGGAAAAAAGAGCTAACATGCATTAAGGGCTTAGGATAATGCTTGGCACTTGGTACACACTCAATAAATGTTTTCCACTATTATAATTACTGTGTGTCACTTATTGTCCTACTCATTTTACACACACAATCTCCCTATCCTCACATCACTTCTACAAAGAAATATTGTCATCTCTACTTCACATAGGAGGTCACAGTCTCTGAGAGTCAAGGTTGTCTGCCTGGGAAGTTGCCAAGTCGGGGTGCAAACTGTGTGTGAATGTGTGAATGCAACATCTATGTCCTTTCCCATACACTACTTATAAGCTGGACCTAGAACCTCTGAGCTATCCAGTACAAATCTAAGCTTTTCCTAGGCTGTTTTTGTTTTGTTTGTTTGCCTTGTGTGTCTTTTTTTTTTTTAATTTTTGGAGTAGCAGTGGGGGAGTAAATTTAACAGAATTTTAAAGTCACTCTGTTGGGCTTTTGGACTGGTGAACTATCCACAAGATTAGTGGAGGAGAAGCATTAGTGGAAGCATTTCATTATGCTTCAAATGACCTTGATTTCCTGGACACATCTGATTGGGCTAGAAATCGAAACTTTAGCATTTGATTGTATGTGTGTGCTCAGTCATGTCCTACTCTTTGCAACTCTTTGTAGCCTGCCAGGCTCCTCTGTCCATGGAATTTTCCAGGCAAGAATACTGGAGTGGGTTGCCATTTCCTCCTCCAGGGGAATCTTCCTGACCCAGGGATTGAACCTGCATCTCCTGCATTGGCAGGGGATTCTTTACCATTGCATCACCTAGGAAGCCAAGCATTTGATTGGCCAGACACAAACACCAACAGTCAATGGGGTGACCTGGAAAAAGAATTCTATCTAAAAGTATTTCTTTAAATTAGATACTGACTAAACAAACCCATGAGATCTGTCACAGAAGTCTAACACTCACAGTGAAAAATAGAAAGACAGTAGAAACAAAGATAAATGGTAATCACAAAATTATGGTATCAGATGACGGAATAATGGAAGTTGACAAGTCATAGTATGCGGGGAAAATAAATCAGTGTTAAAGGCACATAAAACATGTTTTATAAATTACTAGTTTTCTTTAAAATGTCAACTTTGGAAACATGTTATATTAAACCATAAAAAAGGGCAGACAATTTATGTTTTGATACAATCCTTCATTATACTGGGGCTAAACAGATGAGTAGATAATAGAAAAAAAATCTTTCACTAATTTTCTGGTTCTGAAAAATAGGAGTCAATCCAAAAACAGCATATGATCATGATCCATCTGCACAAAAACCTAACAAATGAAGTGAAGAGCTCAATATGGTTGAATCATTATCAAATATTTCCATGACACTTCAAGAAAAGCATAAACACCAGGGGGGCTCGCCTCCATTTAGACTATTATCATTCAAATCTTGAGGCTCTCAACTAGCATTATCTGTAATTTTCCAAATAACAGTGGAAATTAATTTTTGTGTTGCAATTTTTTTCAGGAATTATTTGCCATAAATCACTAATTATTTCAACTTAGAACTAAAATAGATTTCTTTTTCCTTTGATATGCCTGGAAATATTTCTTAGTCCAGAACAGAGGCCTTAATATTTAAAGGCTCCTGTAATTTATATAAATCTATTGTTAAATTATTAACATAAATAAATAAATTTAATAGATTTTTGCTTTTAAATAAGTATTTTTATACATTGTTTTTAAAATAATAAATACTAACGGCAGAAATCCTAAGAATTCAGGAGTACATGACAAAGAGTAAAAATATCCCCTTCCTACACACTGTCCAGGCTGCAATTGTCACCTAAAAGGTAAATACTTTTACCTTTTTTGTGTACCACAGATTTTGTGCTCCACATCAGGAATCATCTATGCATATTTAAGGAATTGTACATATACATAAATAAACATATATTCTTTCAGTGCACGTATAGTTTACACTACCCACACTGTTCTGCCACTTGATTTTTTTTTCTTAAGGTAACCTTGACATCAACCTCATTCTTCCAATGATGGCAGAATATTCCATCACAGGCATGAACCATAATTCATTTAAACAAACCTGCACAATTGGATGTTAGGCTACTGCAACAGACATCCTTTCATATATTTTGTGGTGCACTTCTGTCAGTATGCACGTAGGCTAGACTACCAGATGTGGCCTGGAAGGTCAAAGAATATGTGCATTTAAAATTTTAGTGGATATTTTAAAGGAGAAATATAATTGTATTCCTTTATACATATCTGTTTTAAAAGATGCTTTGCATTTTAAGATAATAAAATGCAGTTTATTAAAAATTATATATTTCAATAGAGACTAACACTTAAGCCAACTTACTCAAATCTTACCAATAATAAAGGGTCTCCATATATTCATATGACTTTCTTGAGGAAACAGATGCTTTATGGAAGTAGGTCTTATATAAATAATAACCTAAGACAGATGTTGTAAGAAAAGAAAAAAGCCAGCACATCCCAATAGACTTCAGCCCTTTATTCAACTGCCAGTCATGGTTTTATTCCCTACTATCTCTTTTGTTCCAGAAATCTATTGTCCTTGAAACTTTCCTCATACTACTTGATTTAATAACACAGTCATAACAGTACAGATGTTTATTTTTAGATAATTAGATAGTTGTAGGTAAAAAATTATCTACCTCTATAGAAATGAGCTACATATTAATTCACATGTCATATTGGTTTTTATTTCCTTTGGGGAAAAAAAGCTTATTGCAAATTTAATTCTACGGAAGTCAAAATAATCATTTATTTGAAAAATTCAAAGACAAACCACATTTTTATTAAGCAGACAGAAAGATCTCAAAGGAAAAGTAGAATTTACTATAAATAGGATGAGATGATAATGCAAAGAAAGTTACTCAGCCTGGGTTATAAAACTATGAAAACTCAGTAAGGAAAACCAATTCCAGTACAGCCACAAGGCCATGGTCATATGCTCTCAATCCAGATCCTCAAAGGAAATAACACCTTTATCAGCTCCAAGATGGACTATGGTCACCTTTTTCAAAAAGTCTTCTCAGATTCCCTCCTT